TTGATGGTATCCAGATTACTTAAAAGGGGTCACAACTTTTATCATACAAAAGAATGTTCCTTCTAATAATTAAAGTTTCTCATTTGTCAGGTAGTACAGAAACTTGGAGGATATAACCGTGTGATGAACCAAAATCAGTGGAAAGTGGTGTCCAATAAGATGCAGCTTCAGAGTCTTGGATCCCAGGCGCCAAATCATATTAAAGCTGCTTATAAAAGGTGGGTTAGATATACTTTCATTACAGGCAAATAATGAATCTATTTCAAGCGTTCAGAGTGCGAGATATTTTCTGTGGAGAGCCCCTTCATCTCCCTGGAGCTATATCGGGCTGATGTGCATATATTAGACAGTGGCAACAGTCAATCGCTGGAGTTCTCAGCCTACCGGGGACCAGCACCAGAACCTGGCCCCCTCAGATGAGGCACGAGGATCAATGGCCTATAGACAGCCCCATGTAATTGAAAGCAGTCTGTCTACCATCTACAAGGTCAGGCACCCAGAAAGGTAGGAATTCGAAAACAAACAGCTGGTTAAGAAGTTGTAAACTGAAAGCCGAACTAGTAAACAGAACTCCTCAATTGAAAACAATTAAACAAGCATGATGTCACCACAGCTGTTGCACCGCTGTCTGCGCAACTCCCAATTTCCCCTCCTGGGAAAGGGGGGGTCTTTTGCCCCTCCTTTCAGTTGACCACTCTGTCCCAGGTCCGGCTGTTTTTGAAGCCGGGCACTTGGATAGTGTCACTGGACCTCCAGGATGCGTATTGGCATGTCCTGATTCAGCTGAGGTTCAGGGACTGGCTGGGTTTTGTCGTGGGGTAGCAGGCTTTCCATTTTTCATTGCCTTCCTTTTGGTTTAAATCTGGCACCTCGTGTGTTCACACGCCTTACCTGGGCCATGGTGACCCATTTGCGTTGGTTAGGCATTCAGGTTCTGGCTTTCCTCGACGACTGGCTGGTGTGGGCTTCCAGCCTGTCCGCGTGTCTGCTCGCCAGGGCTTTGGTTCTTTCCCAGCTCGCCGGGTCTGGGTTCTTGGTGAACTGGAGGAAGTCCCATTTAGTGCTCTCTGGTTCGGACTTGGCTGGGTCTTGTGCGGGAGACTCGGACCGCTTCCTTGTCTCTCCCTCCTGTGGCATTGCTGCAGCTGCAGTCCCACCTTCAGGTGTTTTTGGAGAGCACCCTGGTCACACTTTGGTTGTTCGAGCAGCTTTGCGGCAGTCTGAACTTTGCCATGCTGGTCTACTTGTTAGGTCAGATCTGGCTTCAGTGGGTGTTCTGGTTCTTTCGGGACCATTCCTTTCACAGCTCTTGTGATCTCTGGGATTGGACCCCAGGGGCCTTGCGTCGGCTTCTTCTTTGGGTTTTTCGGGGTTCTATTCTTTGGCATTCACCCGAACCCTTGATCAATGTGTTCACGGATTCCTCGTCTTTCGGCTGGGGCTTTGTGATCAGTGCTCACCAGGTCATCCAGGGTAGGTGGGGTTCATTTTTCCGGCGGGCTCACAGCGTGAGAATTTTGCAACAGTGGCATTCGCTTCAGAGGGTTCGAGTCGCTCACGGATCAATGATCCGGCTCCATTTGGACTGCTTCCCGGTGGTTCATTGTCTGAACCGCGGAGGTTCGATGCAGTAATTGGCTCTCTGGGGCTGGTTGATTTGGGTGACTCGTCTGCTGAGTTCTTGGAGCTTGTCTCTCCTGGCGGTTCAAGTGGACGGTCGACACCAACTCTTTCCATTTGCTCTGCCAGACGTTCGGGCGCCCGGATGTGGACCTCTTTGCGTCAGCTTGGTCGATGTGTCTTCTAGTATATGCTGCGCCCATTCCCGACTGCGAGGCTGTTGGGGTCGATGCCTTTCTACTAGACTGGTCGACATGGTCGACACCTGTACCTCTTCTCACCAGTTCAGTTGTTGCCCCAAGTCCTGGCTCACTTGGAGACTTACCACAAAGTCATGTTAGCCTTTTGGTGGCCAGCCCAGCCCTGGTTTCAGGCACTGCTTGCTCAGTGTTCGAACCCGAGGTTTTTTCCGCAGCTCCACCTCTTTCAGCAGATCGGTCCAATCCGGTACATGGCTGGTTCAATCTTCTCTGCTGTTTGAGTCTGATCTTTTTGACGTGGCTTTATCACCCGTGTGATAAACCCCATGATAAACTCCGCAGGGTTAATTATTTGAGTGCCGGACCAACCGGGCTGTGGTGGGTATGTGGACCTGCGGGCCGCTCCAAGCAAGAGCCTGGTGGACCAAACTCTCACAAGTCAAGCCTGGCTTCGGGCCGGGCTTGGGGAGTAGAAGAACTCCCAGGACCCCATCAAGCAGGTACCACTTGTATGGTGATCAGGTGGCTTCGTTGATGGTGTCTCAACTGCGATTTTTGTCTCGGCTACAGTATGCCGTTTCCTGGCGGTCTTTTTGGCACTTTTGTCTCTTCAACATCATTGAAGAGACAACGAGACAGCGGCAGCATCATGCTTGTTTACTTGTTTTTGATTGGGGAGTTCTTTTTGCGAGTTCAGCTTTCGCTTTGCAATTTTTTAACCAGCTGTAGTTTGTTTTGAAATTCCTTCCTTTCTGAGTGCCTGACCTGGTAAATGGCATACATAGACTGCTTCCGATTACATGGGAAGTTATAGGCCATTGCTCCTCGTGCCTATCATGATATATTTTCTACACTTTCCTCACTTGACCTTTGGATCACTCCTCTTGCTTGTAGGCTGCCTCTTGTTATTTATTTTCTTGCCTCTGCAGGCTGTCCACTAAGTTCATTAAGTTTTTCTTGTCTCGGGACTAGTTTTTTTCATTGGGGCGTTTTCTCTTCCTATATCAGGTTCTTCTCTTTAACTTGTTTTGGCTCCTTGGACTTTTGACCAAGGGGGTGTAGTTCTCATTTTTGGTGATTATGATTCCAAATATGACATGCTTAGATAATTTGCTGTTTTATGTACCCATGCACTCAGCCAGTCTGTGTGTGTACAAACCTGAAAATCTCTTTCTTTCCCAGCTTGCCAAGTTTGAATTCATGGTGAACTGGCTGAAGTTCCAGTTGGTTCAGTCACAGGTTTTGCCCTGGAATCTTGTTCATTGGGTCTGCCACACTGTTTTCAAGTTTGCAGCAGTGAGGCAGGCCCTGATCCATGTTTGTCTCCCAATAGGTTCCATCCCCTGGCCTCACTCCATCTGCTCCCCTTCAACTTGTTGTAAGATTTGCAGTGGCCACGTTGGTCCTTTTCCTTTGGGGCTGGTCTCTGCAAGTGGCTTGTATTTTAGATTTTTGGGATTTGTCTGTGTGCTCGGTTCCCAGATGGCTGGTCTTAACGTCTTGGTTTCTCTCGCTTCCATTGCATTTCCAAGAACTGGACCATTGATGGTGTATACTTCCTTTGGCATTGTGGAACATCTGGGTGCTTCAGAGTGTATCTCTTCATGTTGGTGTTGGTCTGGAGGCTTCTTTTCTTTTATGGGTCTGTTCCCTGATGTTTTATGGGTTTCTTTCCTGATCATGACTCATCATGGATGCCATTCAGATGACCTGTATTCAGTAGGATTTCCTGACTTTTATGTTGCTGCTGCTGTTGTTGTTGCACCCTGAGACATCACCAGGGAGTACCTTCCGAGGCCTTGGTGACCTGCTTAGCCTTTGTTTCTTGCTCTTCTGGCTTGTTGTTCAAACCCACGGCTTTTTCTGTGGTTCTTCCTCTTTCAGTAGATTGGCTGGAGACATTCTTCGCTGGTTCGAGGCTGTCCTTAGTTCTGTCATTTCCAGCTTGTTCATTATTCTCTGGATCCTTCTTGATGTCTAGATCAGGTTTTTGGCTCATTTTTTGTTTCCTTGATTATCTGTTAGCCCCCCCCCTCTGTGCCTCCCTTTTTTTTTTTTAAAGCCCTGTTTCTGTGGGGAGCCCCATCGGATCCCTGAAGCTATCTAAACTGCTATGTGCTATATTAGTTTGGGGTCATCAATCACAAGAGTCCTTATGCCTACCGGGGGCCATGAGCCAGAAACTGGTTCCCTCAGAGAGGAATGGCCTATGAGCACTTTACATTTAAAATGTCTTAATTGATGATATATTAAGATACCCAGAAAGAAAGGCGAATCAAAACAGATAAATGTCTGGTTAACCTGTGCAATCTACATCCTAAAAGATCAAAATAACTCCCCTACAAACAAACCCAACTAACAACCCTTCATACAACTAGCCCTCTCGAGTATTAGTGCTACCCCCTTCCTCAAAAAAGCCAAGAGAGAAAGAATAAAACAACCCGGTCCAAAATCGACAAAAATCTTCAAAGAGAAAGAAATAGATGGAAAGACCTGTAAGAAACTACATACTGTCGCCTGGAAGAAGACTGCAAGTGAGACACCATCAAAGAAGCCACCTTATCACCATATAAATGGCAATACACTCGGGTTAAAAAGACCAGATGCATAGTGCGGAGGAGTAAGGCGGTACCAGCGAGGTATCTCACTGGCCAGATCTGCTGGAAGAGGCGGAGCCACAGAAAAACGCCTGGTTTTGGACACCAAGCTAGCATGACCTGAAACCAAGGCTGGGCTGGCCACCATAGAGCCAGGAGAATCGCCCTCCCTCGCTAGGATCCCAAGCGAGCTAGGACCTGGAGCAACAGCTGGACAGGGGAAAAGAGGTACAGGAATGCTCTTCCACCTTATATATTATTTTTCACTGCTACATAGTTTTTCATTCAAGATCTCGTATATATTAGGGGTTGTGTTGCAGGATTCCTCCTGCTGGGTGTCATTGGGGTAGTGCTTAGGGAGCTACTGAGGGGGGCTATATACATTTATTTGTGCATTTGTGAATTTTGTATTTTTAACCTTTTATTGCTTTTTATCTCTGCTCTTGGTGCTGTGAGTTTTTTTCTCCAGTAACTGGAGCCACTGGGGGCCTCCCAGGTAAGTAGTCCAGAAATAGTTCACAGTAACATGCAAGGGGTGGGGGGGGAAGTACGTCATGATACCATATACGTTTTACTATGTACTTATAGTGGAGGCATGTACCTATAGAGTATATCTTCCCAAAACTTCATACAATTGACTGCCCCGAAAGTTGTTAACTATGGTGTCCGAAATATTTTCGGAAATGTTAACTTCACTATATCAAATGTTTTAGCTCATGTGTCATCCATTTTTTGTATGCTTTGTCATTCCTGAATTATTATATTACCCTTGTTACAGGTACCTCCAAAGTTTTGAGGAATTTTATCGTAAGCTCGGCTGCACCATGGTCAGCAATCCGCGTGGATCTCGCACAAGGCACCGTTCAGGTAGAAGCTTGATCCGTGACTGTGACCGAACACCTCGTGCATCCAAGAAGAAAGAAAATGATAGTTGCGAGTCAACAGAGGATGAAACGGAAAAGAAGGAAGAGGAGGAGGATATAAAAAAAGCAGATAAAAAAAAATATGAGAAAGATGATGCTAAAAAAATTGATGAGAAGAAGGAAGGAGACAAGAAAGAACCTGACAAAAAGGAAATTGATAAAAAAGAAGTTGAAAAGAGGAAAGATGAGGGAAAAGTTGCAAAGTGAGTACAATAAATGTATACTGATATATGCAGTATTTTCAGTTCATTGTCACCCAGTTCAGGTTTTTGTATGTTATTGCTTATAGTATATATTTTAGTGTATATTGCATATTCTGCTAGTAAGCCACAGGGAGGACTTTTAGTATAATAGCTCAACAATGCTCATAATGTGGAAATGAGGCAAATAAAAATTTTAGTGAGAATTTTTATATAACTTTGATATTCCACATTTTCATCTGATGAAATTAGCAAACTCTGCCAATCCAGAGGGAAGCATCCAGGTTAAAATTTGATTTAATCTAAACCAAGACTAAATTTATAATCTAAATTTATAATCTAAACCAAGACTAAATTTATAATCTAAATTTATAATCTAAACCAAATTCCAATACATTGTACAGTGTATTAGAACTTGAATAAATATAAAATATGATAGTATTCAAATTATATTATTAATCTTCCATATTTAAATAGTATGTGCACAAAACAGTCAAAAGAAACTCTTGACATTGCATTAGGCCATGTGTTATCATTTTCCCATACCCAAAGTATTTTGGTGCTAAATACTAACAATGATAAAATAAGTAAAAATGTAATTATTATACAAATATTTACGGACAATTCTGCGTACAAATTTGGGTGAGGCTTTCTCCAAGTTTTTGGCTTTCAACTTTGAACAGACACAGACAAGAACATTCTCTTATAGTATAGATATATAATTTGTTATTTATTACAAAAAAATAACATTACTGTAATGATGATGTGTAATATACCTGGCAGTGTTCTTTTTTCTTGCTAATAACACTTCATAGATTGTGGGACTACTGGTTTTGTTTTCTGCATATTAGTACCCAAGAGTAATCAAACTTATTGAGCCTTTTCTTAGTAAACTCTCCTTATCCTGAGATGTTCTGGCCCGGGAATTGACTATTACCAAAGCATACCTAATTTGCTGCATATTTGCTTAGACATGTAAAATACTATTATCATAATTCTTGACAAAGCAGTATGCTGTATATAAAATGTCATTAAAGAATTCCAGAGATATATAGACCTTAATTTTATTTCAGAAATTCTAAGCAAGACACGCAAAAAATTCTGGAGCAAGAGCCAGCAGTAACAAGAGAGAGGTCCAAAGAGCCATTGTTAACAAGAGAGAGGTCCAAGGAGCCAACATCAAGGGAACGCTCTAAAGAGCCTGGTTCTGTAAGGGAATGCTCTAGAGAACCTGGCTCCATAAGGGAGTGCTCTAGAGAGCCTGGTTCTGTTAGGGAACGCTCTAGAGAGCCTGGTTCTGTTAGGGAACGCTCTAGAGAACCTGGTTCTGTTAGGGAACGCTCTAGAGAGCCTGGTTCTGTTAGGGAACGCTCTAAAGAGCCTGGTTCTGTTAGGGAACGCTCTAAAGAGCCTGGTTCCATAAGGGAGCGTTCCCGTGAACCAACAACAACAAGAGAAAGATCTCGAGAACCATCAGTAAACAAAGATAGAAGTAAGGAGTCTGCAAGTGCAAAAGATGTCACAGGAGAGTCTTCTGTACCAAAAGAAAGGTTAAGAGAACCTAGAACACCCAGATCTGAAGCAAAAACCAGAGCTGCCATAGCAAAAAATGAAGGTGTTGAAGTGAAGACAAGAGCTAGTGCCAAAGAAGAAAAAGTTGATTGTTTAGAAGTGAAAACACGTTCTAGTATTAAGGATGATAAGAAAGAGGACAAGAAGGAAAAGAAAGAGGAAACTGATCAAGGAGGAACTGAAGAGAGAGAGAGAGAAATGGTAAGGCATCATATTTTATTCCCAGTATTTCATTCATCATAAAATTCATTATAATTCTGTCTACACTTTCATTGGAATCCAAAGGCAGCGTAGGGAGAAAATCGACACAAACCCATGTTTATTTAGTCCACTAATAATTTACATTGAACATGAACTGTGTTGCGCCTTGCAGGAATTTGATGGAGCAAGGTCCTCCTGTACACGAGTCAGTGCTGTGCAAGCAACTCATGCCGTCCCATGTGACCATGGGACCTCTTTCAGGGTGCCACACTCCCACCTCCAAGAATGTATTGGTTATAACAAAGAATTATTATAACATCCACCAATTCCTAAAGTTCATTCAGGCATTTCCTATTATTAGGAATAAATTATCAGAAATAACATTAGCTATTGTAATGCGCAGCTATATGGCAGTCCCCGTGTTGTAGTTGTATCTTCTTGAGGTTATCCCAAGATGATTTTGGGGTTTACCGTCCCCCGCGGCCCGGTTCTCGACCAGACTTCCTTTTTGTTACCCCAAGGAAGCAGCCTGTAGCAGCTGTCTAACTCCCACATACCTATTTACAGCTAGGTGAACAGGAGCACCAGGGTGAAAGAAACTGCCCATTTGTTTCCGCTTCCACCGGGGATCGAACCCAGAACCTCAGGACTACGAAACCAAAACACTGTCCACTCAACTGTCAGGCCCCCTGACACTCGCCTGGCATTTTGCGAGTGCTTTGTCCTGGATTCGTATCCTGGCCGGGGAGGATTTACTGGGCGTCAATCCTTAACTGTAGCCTCTGTTTACTCAACAGTAAAATGGGTATCTGGTTGTTAAACGATTTGGTGGATCGTGGTCCGGGAACATAGGATTAAGTACTTGCCTGAAATGCTTTCGCAGGCCAGTGGCAGTACAAGAATGTAAGAACTCTTGTCTATATAAATAAATAAAAAATGGAAACTAAAATAGAACACGCTCATGGTGCGCGGAAAAAATTATTCCCCCAAAATTTAGTTTTCTTCGTATATTGATAAAATGCCTTCTTTGATCACAGGAAACTTTAAACAAAAAAATAGTATCAAACTTTGGCTGTAATGGAATGAGGATGTCTGGCAATATTGACAGAGAACACACCAGCGTAGGAGTTCTCCAGCCGAGCAGTATGGCAGGCGCTGCTGCAAATGCATTTACACATAATAATTTACATAAAATTCTGCTTTTATATCTAATTTTTGAGGGGGAGCCCCGTCTGCTCCCTGGAGCTATCCAGGCTGAATGGATATGTATATCTTTCTAGTATCAGTCAATGCATGGAGTTCTTGCATACCGGGGACCACGTGCCAGAACCTGGCTCCCTCTAGAGAGGCACAAGGAGCAATGGCCTATAGAGACCTCCTTGTGGTTGATTCTATGTCTGCTATCAACAGGCACCCAGATTTACCACTATTCTGGTAAAACTATTGCGACCGAAGGCCGAACAAGTGGACAGAACTCCCCAAACGAAAATGAGCAAACTAGCATGTCGTCGTCATGTCACCTCACCGCTGTCTGCGAATTCCCCCCCCCCCCCCCTCCCCTCCCTGGGAGGGGGAAGGGGGTGCCCCATACCCACCCACCAGCAACCCAACCTTCAGTTCTTGACTAATGGAAGTCTGGTGCAGTCGTGCCTCTGGCTCCTTTTTTTTGTTTCATTTCTGTGCCTTATAGTATGGGCTGTCTCTACAGGTGGTGCGTGAGCCAGAAGATGTATTCCACAATACTCAGGTTTCATTTGCCTAGGGTTTTCTTCCCTAGGTGCCCTGTAGGTACTGCCCTTGTGGCTTGGCTCCTCCCTCCACAAGTCACCTCAGGATCTACCTCCGCTGTGTCCTTTACTGCTCGGTACTTGGCAGCCCTTGGAGTCAGCTGGGGTTTTTCTTACCCTTGTTTGTTTCTGGGTAAGGGGGCAGTGTTCAGCTGGGGTACGTTGTCCTCTTACGAGGTTTTTCTTTTTTTGTTTTCTGCCTGGTGGGGGAGCTGTCTTTGTGGACCCACATTGCTGTTCTTGGGGTATATATATATCTATATTTCTTTGTTTGGTGGTTCTTCCCGCTTGGCCCCCGTGAGTGGGCACGTCCCGGGGGTTCAGCTTTAGAAGTTTGTTTGGTAGACTTGAGCGCCGGTTCGCAGTATCCTGCCTGGGCTTCCCTTAGCGTGTAACCATGGCTAAGGGCCCTGGAAAACCAGACGGGGGCTCCGAGGTCCAATAGATGTGACTCCTGCGTCTATCTCATGTGTCTTGCGAGTTTGAAGGTTGCTCTGTCCCCTTGTCTCAGGGTGACACTCACCGGTTTTGCCTCCGCCATGCTGTCTGTTGGGTCGATGATTGTTTTGCCTGGGAGTCTTGAGGTATCTTGAGATGATTTCAGGACTTTGTGTCCCCGCGGCCCGGTCCTCTACCAGGCCTCCACCCCCAGGAAGCAGCCCGTGACAGCTGACTAACACCCAGGTACCTATTTTACTGCTAGGTAACAGGGGCATAGGGTGAAAGAAACTCTGCCCATTGTTTCTCGCCGGCACCTGGGATCGAACCCAGGACCACAGGATCACAAGTCCAGCGTGCTGTCCGCTCGGCCGACCAGCTCCCTCGTGTGACGTGTGTTGTCTATACATGCTCCCGTTCACCCAAGCCACTGATAATGATATGTGGGTGCAGGCAGCTGCGGCGTTGCATGCTAGGTTTAGGTTACTGCAACGGTTGCGGTCCCGGATGCCCTGAGACTGCCCTGTTTTGGTTATAGGGGTCCGAACTTGTGGGTGGGAGTCGCTTCGGCTCCGGTTCTGTCCGCTCCTCCTCGTCCTTCCCCTTCTGTTGTGCACACTTCCTTTCCCTTGCTTCCAGCTCCGAACCGTAGGTGGGTGTCAGGGTTAGGGCAGGGCCTGGTAGGGTTGAGATTCAGGCGGTCTCGGGGGTTTTCCTCTTCCAGGGTGGCGGTGGAGGCATTCGAGCCTGTTCCTCTAGCCCTGCCGTATGGGTCTGACGAATGGGGTCCCTTCCTTGGTGTTTTGTTTTGGCTACCTTGGCTTTTACTTGTGGGGCTGGGGCTTTGGGGGAATGACTCGGCCCCGGGTCCTGCCGTGGAGGTTCCCGGGGAACCTCCTTCAACCTCTCTCCAACCTTGGGGAGAGGTTGCCTGGGGGGGCCTAGGTCCCGTTTTGCCCATACTGGGGTTTTTGTACTCTCGGAATGGGGCTTGCAGTTCCTCTGAGTTGGGGGTTTCCTTCCCCCTCTGTGTTCATGTTGGTTTTGGGTCTACCCCTCTGTTACGGTCACTATGGACCAGTAGCCGGGTTGTTGATGGATGAACCTTGTTGTATCCGACCCCAAGTCGGTAGTACGCTTTCAAGATTTGGCTATATATTGCAATGAATAAAAGGGGGGGGGGGGTGGATGAACAAAACACTATTCCCTTTTTAAATATATTTACCTCCACTGTCAAAAATATATATACATATTAGAATAAATAGATTATTTCTACATCTATGTACAGTGATACCCTTTCACACAGGATATCAAACGCGCTCATATGCAGTGTTCGTCAAGCCTCAGTGTTTCTCTCACCCAGTACTTTGTCCAACCATACTGGGGAACACTGGCGAGTTCCACTTTGTACGTGGGCCAGCCCACTGACGGTATCAAGAGGTGCCTATACCCCACGACCACTCTCCAGCCACTTGCTGGCAGAGAACCTCAGCCACACGCTGATCGGGGCCACAAAACAATCGATACAGGGGTAGCGAACCCCTGGTAGAAGCCTCTAGCGTCCGGCTAACAGCGCTTCTCAACAGGCACCTCACTGTCGTCTGTTTCTTCCCTAAGCCAGTCCCGGGGTATGCCGATCTCTTCCAATACTACGTGAACAGCAGTGAACACACACTCCTTTGGATCGGCTGCGGCTTACTTAATCGTCTTGCAGAACTAAGTTGGGAGAACGTCGGCTGCCCTAGGTAAACTGCCGTCTCCAGTGCCACTGCTGTCCCACGTCACCTCTGTGGACACAAACACGTCATCAGTTAAATGGACGTTTAACGTCATCAGTTAAATGGGGTGATCGTTTTGTTTCTGGGCGGTGTACACGTGTTGGTGTTCCGCAGTCTTTCTCATGGATTCTACACTGTTTTCACTCCTCTTCTCTCCGGTCATAACCTCCTGAATACTCTTGAGTGTTCTGGATTTTGTGTATGGAGCGATCTCCTTGTTCTTTTCTCAGCCTGCAAGTGTGAGACGGCCCCGAAGTGACCATTCAGCTCCATTCGGACTGTTCTCTGGTGGTTCTTTGCCGGAACCACAGGGTTTCTCTGCCGGAACCACAGGGTTTCTCTTAGGTGTTTGACCTTTGGGGTTGTTCCCTTAGAGTGGCTCGTTTGCTGGATTCTCGGGGGTTTGGCTAACTGTGAGGTTCATGTCCGGCGTGTGTCCTGCGTCTTGGCGGACAGCTGTCTCGGTTTATTCCTCTGTTCGCGGATTGGCCAGTCGTCACCGACTCGTTTCGTTGGCTCTGCCGGACGTATGGACTCCTGGCCTTGGACGTCTTCGAGTCAGCGTGGTCTAGGCATCGCCCATTCTATGTGGTGCCCTTACCTGCCTGCGAGGCGTTCACGGTGGATGCCTTTCGGCAGGACTGGTCGAGGTGGGGGTACCTGTTCCTCTTCTCCCGGTTCAGCTGTTGCTTCGGGTTCTGGCTCGGTTGGAGCCCATTCCCACGAGAGTAATCCTTATGGTCCCTTAGTGGCCGGCCCAGCTTTATTTTCAGACGCTGCTTGATAGGTGTCCAAACCCGGAGCGTTTTCCCGCTGCTCCACCTCTTTCGGCAGGTCGGACCGGTCCTGTACGTGACTGGTTTGGCCTTCTCCTCGGCTCTTTGCGTCTGGTATTTTGACGCGGGGTATCACCATCTCTGTGGTGATCAAGTGGCTTTGTTGATGGTGTCCCACCTGCGAGCTTCATCTCGGCGACAGTATGACGCTCCTGGTGTTTCTATGCACTTTTTCTTGCTCTTCGTAGGTCGTCTTCTCTTTCGCATCGGGTTGTCTTGTCCTTTCTTGGGGGTTTCAGGACTACAGTTTGTTTCTTACTGTCGCCTTGTTTTGTGCGGCGCTGGCGGAGCCACTCCGGCTTGCGATCAGGGTGGACGTCACATCTGCCCCGTTTCGTACGCTTTCTCGTGTTTCGTTTCACCTCCAGCCTGCTCATGCGTTGCCTGAGCCATCCTGGTCCTTAATCTGGGTGCCTTCTTATCTTCTCAGTTTGTGGTAGCCCCTTCTGTTCAGGTTTCTGCTCTTTGGTACTGGTGGTAGATTTGTACTTGTGCAGCCTTTCTCCGTCCTATTGGTGACGGTCGAGACGGCTGCTTTTCGTAGGGATTCTTGGGTTATTGATGCTTGATTGGTTCGGCCGGGGGTGCGTCCTGTGTTGTCCGGTTGCGCTTTTTTGCCGTTACCTGCATACCGTGTCTGGGGATGCACTTTGGGTTGATCCGGTTCCCCTCGTTCCCTGTTTCAGGGCTCGGGTCTCCCAGGTTGTCCGCAGAGTCTTCCAGCCTGCGGTCTTTCCTTGCGCCCGTGCTATTCGGACGTTTGCAGCTTTTGCTGCTGTGTTGGTGATGTCTAGGGCTCATTTCGGGCACAGAAATTTGAGGGTCGCACAGGTTCTTGGCCGCCTATTCTTTATGCTCGCCTGCTCCTGTGTGTTCTTGTTGGCTTGGGTTGCAGGTTGCAGCCTGCGACCCAAGACAGCCTATTGTCTCGGCTTCACGTTGCGGAATTTGTGGCGGCCGCCTCCCGGTTCAGCCCTTTCTTTTCCTTCTCTCTCTGGGTATGAAGCTCCAGGGAGCCGTAGGGGCTCCCCACAGAAAACCAGCGTTGAATGTAATGAAACGCCATTTTCTGGGTGAGCCCCGGAGGCTTCCTGGCAACCCTCCCTCCCACCGGTCGGCGGTTTTTTCGCGTTGGTTGAAGCTTAGCTTTCGAACTGATGCTAGGCAGCCGGCGCGGTAGGTCCGGGGCAGTAATATGATATAGTGTGTAATTTTAGGAATTTATTTAGTTAAATATGTGGAACATCACTATTTCCAAAAATATGGTGCTCATATCTAGTGACACGTATATTATAGTCTTAGGTCAGTGAAACAGTGCTTTTGCTGATATTACACTATATACACTCATTATACATCTATGTTTTTGTAAACCATTAAGAAGTACCAGCTAATTTTGGTGTTTTGTGTTTATAAAATCTTAGCTCCGTATACAGTATAGTGCTATACACTATGACCAATTGACTCAAGCAGCCGACTTCCTCTAATGGAGCGAAATACCCAGAAATATACTAGACACATTGCTATTATTATTCGATTCCTGTCACTAAATCATGAACATGAATAATTTTCAACAAGATTATTTTCTAAATGAAGATAATGTCACATTGCATGAGGCATAGTTTTACAAAACTCTGAAGTGTGCTGTCAATGTCTGCCTTCTGCTGTGAACATCCTAACTATTATTTTTGTTCACTGATATCTGAACCTTGTACATAATTTTTATTACAGTCAGGATCATCTATGACACTTTCAACCCAAAGGAATTGCACTTATTATATTGTTCATGATTATTAAAGATGCAAATGTTATATGTAGTGCATCAAACTCCCTTTCCCTACATCATGGTGTGTGTGGTACAGTGGTTAAATAATCCTTGGATATACTATTTGAAAAGCTGCATGGGTTGCAGAGGCAGTAGTGTTAGGAAATAGGAAATGGTAACATGTTACCTTCCTGGAGGTTAGGTGAGCACTGACATCTTTCCAGTTTTGTCTAAACATGGTCACATGCTCACATGTCTTGACACTCAGATACATTCTGCACACCAAGGTAATGCTGATTGCACTGATGAGGGTTGTTAAATGTTTTCTATATGCTGCTGTGCTGTTCCTCAAAAAGTATCAATAATCCTGGTCCTTATCTCCGTGTGGACTGACGGTGCCAGTCACTGTCCTTTTGGAAGAAAAAATTATGATGCTTTCCTTGGTTCTTGCATTAAATATAAGTTAAATATTAAATTAAAGTGAAATACACAATTGAAGGCACTGGAAATCATTAATATTTAATTTTTTATATTATAGTTAAATTACAAATAATAAAATTAATACAAAAGTTAATATACTGTAACAAAACTAGGAAAAAGCATAATAAGTAGAATGCCTCGGTTTCCCTTCAAGAAGACTAGAATTTCAAAATGACTGTCACTGAGCTCTGATCTCTGCCACTTATGAACATCTTTTTCCAAAGAGATGAGCTTCTTGATAGCAGCACTGGAGAGGAACAGGTCCTTTATCATTGGGCTGGAGAAGAAGCCTTTCTTGATGATGAAGGGTCTCTATTTTTTAGAGCTCTTGCTGATAAATTTCTCTACCAACTTGGTCCTGGTTTTTATCCTCTTCTCTCTTAATTGGGATTGTAATAACAACTCCTCTCGTAAACTATTGGGACCGACTGAAATGCCTAAATCTGTATTCTCTTGAGTGCAGGCGGGAGAGATACATAATAATTTACACATGTAAAATAGTAGTGGGGCTGGTCCCAAACCTGCACACAGAAATAACACCACATGAGACCAGGAGGCATGGCAGGATGTGCAGAATACCCCCATTGAAAAGCAGAGGTGCAATAGGTACTCTAAGAGAGAACTCTTTCAACATCAGAGGCCTGAGACTGTTCCAACACACTTCCACTACACATAAGGAGCATAACTGGCTGACCCCCCCCCCCCCTCACTGTGTTTGAGAGAACTTGAGAAACACCTCCAAAGGATACCTGATCAACTAGGCTGTGACTCATGCGACAGACTGCGAGCAGCTGCGTCCAACAACCTGGTAGACCAGTCCAGCAACCAGGCCGCGGGGATCCTAAGCCCCGAAAACGCCTCAAGGTAACCTCAAGGTAAGGTAGATAACCTCTGCCTTTGGAGCGAGCCCAAAAAGAAGTCTTCTCAGTCATGGTCATTAAAAACATGACCGAGGAGCCTCTGACTCCAGAATTACTTTAAAATTGACTATTTGTCCCCATTTCAGTCTTGCCTGGAAAAAAAGAACACTTTCCTAGTCATTGTTGACATAATGGATTGAGTTTAAGGAATAAGAACCTCCGTCTACAACCCATCCTGAACTCTACTCATTATATTCCCTGTACTCATTACAGTAATCCCTGCACTCCTGATGTAACTTTGTTTTGAGAATATTCCAGCCTGGAAATATTTATCTCTATTGAGTATGATCTGAATATTCCTTATTCATATACAGTAATTTTAATATTTGGAGTCATGAATTAATGATTTTCAAATGTTCATTTATGCTTGTGACACCTTATCATCACTGGGTTTGTGTCCATTGTTCTATATTTCACTCCTGTAATTTATTTGATTATGCAGAATTGTAACCTAATAGAACAATTTCCATGTAGAAATTACTATATACTTCAAAATTGATCAAAATTTCTTTAGATACTTATGGATAGTGAATTCTTTACATAATTTTGTGTTTGTTAACTTATCCTAGGCTCAAACTCGTTCATCATCAAAACAACGTGAAGAAGGCCGTGACAAAGAAGAATCTGTAAAAAAAAATGGTACTCCAACAAGAAAAACTAAAGTAGAGCGTGCTGTCAATATTGCCACTACCACTACTGTACCTGTTGCTGCTACCTCTGCTGATACTTTTGCTGCTGTTACTGCTGCAGCTTCTGCTACTGCTACTCCACCTGTTGTTTCAACAACAACAGCTATTGTTGCTGTTAATGTCTGCACTACTCCTATTCCTACTCCAACTCCAACTCCAACACCTGAGAATGAGGAGGAAGAGGAGGAGGAGGAGGAGGATGATGATGATTCTACAGTGTCGAGCACGCCTACTTCTTCCACTGTTCAAAGTTCCAGTACCACTCCATCTGTAAATTCCAGTGATAAGAAGGCAAAAAAGAGCAAAATAGGTAAAGTTGGTCCAGGACATACATCAGTCCCATTGCCAGCTGAAGATTCACCTGGTGCTAAGAAACGAGGCCGTAAAAAGAAGGTGGAAGGGGAAGTGGAGCCGCCATTGTTAGTATGATTTTTGTTTCAAGTTGATAAGGCATTTTTATTTGGGATAGGATAATATATTCATTACCTAAAGTTATAACAAATTATTGATCTTTGAAAATTGTTGCAAACTAGAGCAGCTGATGTTTCTTTTTAGCTGGTGGTTCTCCTAATGTTAATGTTGCAACCCACATGTTTAAAATCACTAAAAATATTTGCAGCCCTCCAGTCTTGCTAAATATTTTTTCTTTGCTCACTAATAAGTGTCATTGTTAAGTATATTCTCAAGACTAGGGATGACTTCTTTTAGTGGCTCACACCAGGTATATGTGACTATCTCATGACCTACTCGGAGCAGGAACATGAATCCTGCTCCTCCCATAAGCAGAGGGAAGTCATGAAATTCCATATATTGAGCAGAAAACTGCCACAATGGGCAAAATGTAGTTAAACTTGTTTGGAGAAGTGTGGCAGAAATGAATACAAATCAAAATACTGTACCTGAAATATTATCTCTTCCCCCCCCACCCCCCCCACCCCCTACCCCCACCCTCTTCCCTCTCATCACCAGGTGGCAGTGCTAGTCAATCCGGATGTGTGTGATCAATCCTGGTGCTGCACCTCATAGCATTTGAGACTGAATATTAGTTTGTGCCTTGCTTTTATGCTTGTTTGTGGTCTAAAAGTTGGTTTTATATTTGATAATGCTCTTTGTAAGTGTTTTTCACAGTGTTGGTTTCATGATTTAGCCTACTCCAGCTATGAATTTGTCTTGTATGGTTCTTTAATGCAGCTTGTCTGTTAACACTTTATCTTTTTAGAAGCAGTCAAGCTCCTCTCCAGGGTCGGTAGGATGTGGAAGTGTGCTCTCATGGCAAGGGTGTACTTGGTGACAAGTTTAGTTTCAGACTTTTGTTGATGGGGCTTCATAAATTGTAATGTTTATTCTAATTCTTCATTTTCCACTCAAATATAGGTTTGCTGTGGATTTTCAATCCTGTGCATGTGCATATTTGCTCCACCTTTGCTGGTGGAGCCATGTTGAACCTTAGCTCAAACTGTTTAATATTAATGGCATGCATCATAGATGGAAAGAGCTATGTTAACAGGTTTTGTTGTGATGTTCCTTTTGCCGTGAACCCTGTTGTCACTGATCAGATGGGGTTTGGGGGTTTGTTAGAAATTACTCCAGCTCAAACACTTGACTGTTGCAATTGAAAGTAAGGTATATGTACATTTTCCAATCTTTGTAGAATGCATTTATCGCTGAACTTTTTGGGTGAAGTGATTGTAGACATTCACTTTTCTCAGGAACAGCCTTTGTTCCATATGACAGTGCAGAGCATTTTGTAGCTAACACCACTGTTTAACCAGCACCTGGGTTTTTTCAGTTTGAAAGTAGGTTTAAGTGGAATTAGTCATGTGTGGGGTGCTTATTTTACACCTGACTGCAGAAGTGGTGGTGGTGGTGTCTTAATTTATTTCAAAGCCAGCTTTTTTCTCTTTCCAGTCCAGTAGGGTGTATCACTGTTGCTAGGTGTGCACTTATTGTCATTGTCTGCTGAAACTCCTAGTGTAATCATTATTTGAAGGTGTTTTTTTGGGAGAACTCCCTAGTGGCTCCCTGAAGCTATCTCACCTAGATTGCTCCATGCCAGTGGGTCACGTAAGGAGTGCAGGACTTGAAGTGTCAGTGGGGAGATTCTGTTTTGTTAGATTCGGTTTGATAGTTGATCCCTAAGCCAGAGATTCTCTGTCTGCCCACTTATGTTATGTTTTAGTTTTCCTGGCTCTTCTGTATGTTTTTCTGAATGCAGAGGTACTCCGTTCTTCTTGCCTAGTAGTCTTGTAATTGGATTTCTTTTCCAAAGTAGCATAGGCTGGAATTTTTGCCTACAATTGCTGTGCAAGTTTTCTAGTATTTAGGTCTTTGGTCCTGTTTTGGTAGACATCTTGGAATATGCCCCAGAAAAGCAGGTTATGGCATCTTCCTAAGATTGGTTATCTGTATGGTTATGCTTCCTAAAAAAGAAGTTTTTCTCATATTACTCGGCAGTTTGTAGAGTGGCTGGGCAGGAGCCTGAACTTTCCCTACATTATTTTTGCCTTAGGCAGAGTTTGGCTCAGGATGTTGTTCTGGTTTGTCCAGCTCTGCCAGTTTCACCACCACTGAAACTGTGGTTCAGGCTCTGTTTGTCTTTTGATTGTTTTTGCTCCACTTGTGTTCTCTTCAGGTGTTTCAAGGTGCCTTCCCCCCCCCCCCCCCCCCACCCCCACTTGATTTGCTCATAGTCACGGTGACCCAGGGGTGGAGTTTTGTGACTGGTGCTTTTCATTGGGTCCTCTATATTGGGCGCACAGTACGCTGTGCAAATTTGAGGTGATGTGGCAAGCCCTTCTGAGGCTTTGTCTTCCTCTGGATCCATTCCTACTGCTCTTCAGTGATTAATGCTAAATCATGGGGTGTTACTTTGGTCCTTCCTCCCTTTGGAGCTGGAGTCTTGAGTAGCTTGGCATCCCGATTCTCGAGGTTTGGTTCTCTGTGTAACTCGCGTACAGAATGGGTCTAACATTCTCGCAGCTTAAGGTAACCTCTGGGGCTCACCCAGACATTGGCATTTCATTACATTTAACGCTGGTTTCTTTTTTCTTTTCTTTGACTTTCGCACCATTTCTGTTGAACCAAACCTGCTTTCTAGTTCTGCATCTCGGTTTTGGTTCAAGTTTTGTTGTTCATTCATATATCGGACAAAACTTGGCATACGACTCATTTACTTCTTGCCTAACAAACGTCTTATCGATCATATTCATTAAAGAACTTGGCAAGTTCTCCATAGTTTCCACTATGAAATCAAGTTTTTCTACTGCTTCATTTTCCTTGTTCTTTTGTAGATTATAACGCATTGCATATATTATTTCCAAAAGGACATGGTTTCTCTCTTCCAAGGGAAGAAGGTACTGATTGTCCAATATCTCTTCTTCTTTCCTGGTGGATAACAAATTTATCATTAAAAGTATGTCACTTCCCTCATTTTCATGTTTTGCTTAATATGTTGATACATGCATGTCTTCAGGATGTGGTTTACAAATCTGCTGGTTGAAAAGTCCACTGTTCATGCTTCATAGGCCTACAAGTCCTATGTCCCAGACTATGTCCTATGTCCCAGACTATGTCCTATGTCCCTACAAGTCCCACCCCAGACAGTCAAAGAATTGACAGGGTGCACAAAGACATACTATTTAGCATGGGGGAACAACACAAGGGGACACAGTTGGAAACAAGTACCCAAATGAACCACAGAGACAATAGAAAGAATTTTTTCAGTCAGGGTAGTAAACAAATTAAATGCATTAGGCAGTGATGTGGAGGCGGCAGACTGCATACATAGTTTCAAATGTAGATATGATAGAGCCCAATAGGCTCAGGAATCTGTACACGAGTTGATTGATAGTTGAGAAGTTGGACCAAAGAGCCAAAGCTCAACCCTCCTTGAGGTGGGACGGGAACTTCGTAGAGCAAATAATATTTTTAATGTCCTTCAATATTTGTTATAATTTTTTTATTGTAGTTATTAGTAATAATTTTTGCTTTATACATACTTATTAATTAGTTTTTTCAAACAACAGGGGGAAGGCACTTATACCTGCACACGTTCCTGTGAGTGTTGGAGATAAGCTACGAGTGCTTTACGGACCTAGTGCTAAAGAATCAAAGGTCACATATGAAGCAAAGGTAAATGCCTGCTTTATTATAAGTAATTTAATAAACAAATGCAGTTTACATTTCTAGTAGTTGTAACAGTATTGCCTAGGATTAGTTTATGTATGTATATATGTATGTGATGTTTGGCTGGCTGGAAGAGGAGGTAAGTTACTTGAAGGTGGGGGTGTCATTTTAATCTTAAGTAATTTAGGTCAAATGTTTCCATATTTTGACACTGTATTGGGCTGAGATTGTATTTGTAAAGGGCAAAGCTCTCATTGTGAAATGTTGTCCTTAATTTAATTCTAATGAGATGAAAACCGAGCATTGAATCTAACGAAACATATCTTTTCTGTGGGGGAGCCCCTACGGCTCCCTGGAGCTCATCGGGCTAATGTATGTTATATTAGATCGGGACATTAGCTAAGGAGTTCAAACCTACCAGGGACCAGTGCCATAACCTGGCCCCTTCAGAGAGGTTTCAGGAAGCAATGGCTCTGGAAAACACCCTTGTGGTTGGGGTTTTTTCTTATCTGCCATCGACCGGGGTTAGCACCCAGAAAGGTAGGCATAACAAAACAAACCCCACATGGTAAAAAACTAAAACAAAAAACTGAACAGAGAGGTAGAAACTCCCTACAATCCAAGCAAAAGAAATCCAAGGATTCCAAGCAAACATCACATTTTACTGCCGCGCCGATTGTTCACGCAGCCCTCCCCGCCCCGAGAGGAGGAGGGGGGAGCCCCGGACCTACCGCGCCGGCTGCCAAGCTTCAGTTCGTAAACTAATGTCAACTGGGATAGACGCTTCTCTGGCCTCAGTTTCCTAGGCGGTGTTTGCCTTGTGTGGCGTTCACTGCCGTGTGTTGTGTTGTGCGGTGGCCAGGAGTACCTCATCAGTGCCGGGCCTGCATGCGCTTAGGGGCTTCCTTCCGTTAGCGCCATCTGAGTACTGCCCCTGCGTTACAGGGTTATCTTCCCTGGTGCGTTCGGGAACCATTCCCGTAGAGGTTCTTGCTGCTCGGCATTTGCCTCGCCCTTGGGGCCAACTGGGGCTTGGGGCCCTTATTTGGCCCTGGGTAGGGACTGATATTGTGCTGGTTAGGGCGTCAAGGAAGTTGTGCGACCTGCCACCTAAGCGACGACCAGTTCCTGTTGCCTCTGGAGACGGTGTACTTCTGCGGGGTTTTTCTTTTTTTATTTTCAATTGCCTGGTGGGGGTCTGCCTAGTGTGGCTATAGTTCCACTGGTAGTGTTTGGTGGCCCTCTGCTAGGCCCCCGTGATTGTACACGTCGCAGGGGTTTTCAGTGTTGTCCTCTACCCCCTTGTTATTTTTGGGTGTTTAACCGATTAGCAACACCTTGCCTGGGCTTCCCGTAGTTGTTACTTCTACGGGCCCTGGAAATCCCTGTCGGGGCTCGGTGGACCATTGAATGTGTCTTCCGAGGTCCAACCCGTCTTGTATGGGATCGTTGGTTGTTGTGCCCTTTGTCTCCAGGTGACAGTGGCCACTTTTACCTCCGTCATGTTGCCTGTTGGGTCACTGACACCTTGACCCGGAGTCTTGCAAGAGATTTTCTCTGGTTTTTCTCCAATACTCTCCTGATGTTATTTCTGTTCAGAGTACAGGCGGCATCCATGTTGCAAGCTAGGTTAGGTTGCTGCAACACGCTAGGTTGGTTTCCCACTCGGATGCCCCGGGGCCGCCCCGTTTTGGTTAGGTGCTGTTCGCCCCTTTCCCTCCCTGTTCCTGGCTCCGGACCGTCTGCGGGTTTCGGGATTGGGGCGGGGTTTAGTTGGGGCAGAGACTCGGGTGGTTTTCGGGGGTTGCCCCGTTCAGGTTGGGGATGGAGGTTTTCGAGCCTGTTCCTCCTGCCAAGGCTTCTGGGTCTTACCAGCGGCTCTTTCTTGCTGCCTTTCCCATGGACTCTTCCTTTTCTTAAAGGGCAGAGGGCTTGGAGGACGGCTCTGCCCCGGGGCCTCTGTTGCGGGTTCCCCGGGCTGGGGGGATGCCTGCTAGCAGTTTTGGGGCTGTTTGCCCCCTGCCTGGGTTTTCTACTTCTGGACGGAGTTTTTCGCCCATCCAGTCTGCTTGCTTCCCACTTTTGCTGGCGTGTTTTTGTATCATTTGGGTCGATCACAGCCCTTTGTTCTGGTGGCCATTTTCTTCTGCTAGTTTCCCGGCATGGCCACCAGGGCGGCGTTGCGGTTTGTTTACATGCGCTTGGGTGTGCGAGCGAGTGTCTTGGGTGAGTTTTTTCACCTTTTTCAGGGGTTTTATTCTCCTGTTGTCGTTTCTTTGCTTTTCTGGTGTTTTCTGCCCGTCTTCTGTTCCTCTGGAAACTTTTGAGTGTTGATTTTACACCGGGTTTTCTGTTTTGTCTGTTTTTTGTTTGGGCTCAGTGTCCCTGTCTGTTTATGCTTGCTCCCACACTTTGTCCCTCGGTTTTCGGTCTGTTTTGACCGTTTCCCTGGGGGGTTCTATCTGGGGGCTGTGCTTTGTCTTTCTGTGGTATATCTCCGCCGGCAAATGTGGTGGTTTGAGCTCCCCTTGGTTCGATTCCGGGTTCCTTTGGATTCTTTGGTTTCGTTCCGGAGGTTTCTTCCTCTTGGGCCCCCTTTGTGGGTTCAGGGGGCTTTGTTTCCTCGTGTGTGACCTGGTTCTGCCTTCTGGGGTTCCGGGGTCTTCCTGGCTTGCAGACTGATCTTTTTGGGTCTTCACATGTGTTGTGGTCGTGCTGGGACTTTGGGTTTTGTTGTCGAGGTGGGCCTTTTGATGCAGTTTTAAGCCTTCTTCGCCTGGCCGGCGTGGTGCTCTCTGCCCACTGGTCGGCGGCTTGTAATTTTCTTTTCACGTGTATGTGTACACATGTGCATGTACATGTGTACACTGTGTGTGCACATGTGTATGTGCATACACACGTGTGTGTAATACACCTTGTGTATGTATATGTATATGTGTATATATGTATATATACTTTTTCTTTCGGAAGGGGCTCTGTTCCCTTCGCTGTTGATGGGGCGCTGGGGGAGAAGCTTGCTCTGTTGACTCTCCCATGGTCCCACAGTTAGTGGGCTCTTTTGGTTGTCCTCCAGCCTCTGGTGGCGGCGGCGGATGGCGTCGTTCCCTTTGGGGTGTTCAGGGCTGGCGTGGTGGGCTTCTTCCCCTGCGCTTTGTCATCTCATCTTAGTGGATGTGTTGGACGTGGTAGATCTGCCTCATCCTTCTGGGGTTCCTGTCTGCTCTATGCAGACACGGTCCTAGCAAATTTGCGGTTCTTCTGGACTTCTTCAGTCTGCACCCTGGAATCTATGCCCTCATTATAGGAGTTCATTCCTCTGTTCATGGATTTGCCAGTCGTCGCCGACTCGTTTCATTGGCTTTGCCGGATGTATGGGCTCCTGCCCCTGGGCGTCTTTGAGACGGCGTGGTCTAGGCATCGCCCATTCTATGTGGCGCCCTTACCCGCCTGCGAGGCGTTCAGGGTGGATGCCTTTTGGCAGGACTGGTCGAGGTGGGGGTACCTGTTCCTCTTCTCCCGGTCCAGCTGTTGCTTCGAGTTCTGGCTAGGTTGGAGCCCATTCCCAAGAGAGTAGTTCTCATGGTCCCTTGGTGGCTGGCCCAGCTTTATTTTTAGACTCTGCTTGATAGGTGTCCGAACCCGGGGCATTTTCTCGCGGCTCTGCCTCTTTTGGCAGGTCGGACCGGTCCCGTACGTGACTGGTTCGGCCTTCTCCTCGGCTCTTCGTGTCTGGTATTTTGACGCGGGTATCACCATCTCTGTGGTGATCAGGTGGCTTTGTTGATGGTGTCCCACCTGCATGCTTCGTCTCGGCGACAGTATGGCGTTCTTGGTGTTTCTATGCACCTTTTTCATGCTCTTCGTAGGTCGCCACATCGGGTTGTCTTGAACTTTCTTGCGTTTTCAGGACTACAGTTATTTGATGTTTCTTACTGTCGCCTCGTTTTGTGCGGCGCTGGCGGAGCCGCCCCGGCTTGTGTTCGGGGTGGATGTCACATCTGCCCCGTTCCATCCGCTTTCTCGTGTTTTGTTTCACCTCCGGCCTGCTTATGCGTCGCCTGAGCCATCCTGATCCTTGATCAGGGTGTCTTCTTATCTTTTCCTCAGTTTGTGGTAGCCCCTTCGGTTCAGGTTTCTGCTCTTTGGTACTGGTGGTAGGTTTGTACATTAGCAGCCTTCCTCCGTCCTTCTGGCGACGGTCGAGACGACTGCTTTCCAGAGGTGTCCTTGGGTTATTAATGCTTGATTGGTTCGGCCGGGGGTGCGTCCTGTGTTGTCCGGTTGAGCTTTTTTGCCATTACCTGCGTACCATGTCTGGGGATGCGCTTTGGGTTTATCCGGTTCCCCTCGTTCCCTGTTTCAGGGTTCGGGGTCTCCCAAGTTGTCCACAGAGTTTTAAAGTCTTCCAGCCTGCGGTCTATCCTTGCGCCCGTGCTGTTCAAACGTTTGCAGCTTTCGCTGCTGTGTTGGCGACGTCTAGGGCTCATTTCGGGAGCAAGGATTTGAGGGTCACACAGGTTCCTTGCCACCCGTTCTTTATGCGGGTGTCTGCTCCAGTGTGTTCTTGTGTCCTTGGGTCGCAGGTTGCAGCGTGTTGTCTCGTCTTCGCGTTGCGGAGTTTGTGGCGGCTGCCTCCCGGGTCAGCCCTTTCTTTTCGTTCTCTTTGGGTATGAAGCTCCAGGGAGCTGTAGGAGTGTAACGGGGGGTGGGAGAAATAGCTCTTATCTTGTCCATTATTCCACCCCCCCAGTTAGCTAATGAGGCCGGGGGAAACAGCTCTCTCTAGTCCGTTATCCCGTCCTCAGTTAGCTAACTATTCTAGAGCACCTCCAGAGTTCCCAAGGCAACCTCTCTCGTTCAACACCTTGTTACCTAGGTATTTGACTACCTAGGTGCTACGACTACAAGGCGCCGTAACTTGATCAGCTACCCAAAACTCTAGAGAGAACTCTAGAATATATTTCACTGCCACAAACGTATAAGAGAAACAAAGGGAAGAGATGAATAATGAGGTAATTAGTAAGGGTTTGAGGTGAGAGAGGTAGAGAGGTGGGAGGAGCACGGAGGGTCATTAGATGAAAGGGAGAGTTCGGAGAGGGGTGGAGGGAGAGGAGTAGATAGGTAGAAGTAGAGGAGTAGATAGGTAGAAGTAGAGGAGTAGATAGTAGAAGAAGAAATGCTGCCACAATCCATTCTAGATCATTACATACAAGACAAGGAATGGAACTTGTCTGTATCACCATATTCTCAAAGATGTTATCAAGAGGTCATTATTAGTATGTTCCATCTGTATCATGTACTCATTAAATCATGAACCCAGTAACTGCAGAGGCTTTCTCACCTCAACTCAAAACTCTAGGGAACAAAGTTAAAGACAATTTAAATAATAAATTCAACAATTATATTTTTCATGATAAGTATCATAATTTAAGCCATTAAACTTGCCATTAAACTTAATGTTCAAGACACAAAGTGCAAAGTGAGTCATCATCCAAGAATTCGAGAACCCTACAACGTGACTGCCCCTGATCCTCACATAACACTTGTAAACACGACCAAGTCACCTTAATGTTCAACTCACCAAGTGTCTGCCTAGCTGGATAGAGGGGGAGGGGGGGTCTGTAGTTGACAGAGACTGTCCCGCCCTGCCGGCTGACAGCCTCCCTGGCTAGGCCGTCTTCTCCTCTGCTCTGCTGGCCCCTATTCTTGTTCTCTCTCCTATGCTCTCTCCTTCAGTATATATTGGGAAACCTAGTAGCTAACTCCGCCCACAAGTAGATAGCCCGAGGCACTCTACCAAGCCACTCCTTAAATGTCGGCATGTTTGAAGGCCAATTATCAGATTAGCAGAAGCAAGGTGGAATTCACATGACTTCACCTCAGGTCAACTTGAGGTAATTAACGCTTAGAGGTGTGAGACTTAGGCCGCCAACCTGGCACCTCTCAAATCCTTGTCTGTGACTCATATTTCTCTATGTATGATTAAATAAAACTAAACCAAGTACCTTACGGTGTTACAGGGGCTTCCCATAGAAAACAAGATTGAATGTAATGAAACGTCATTTTCTGGGTGAGCCCCAGAGGCTCCCAGGCAACCCTCCCTCCCACCGGTCGGCATTTTTTTCGCGTTGGTTGAAGCTTAGCTTTCAAATTGATGCTAGGTAGCCGGCGCGGTGAGGTCTGGGGCTCCCCCCTTCCCTTCTCGGGGCGGGTAGGGCTGTGCGGACGATCGGCGTGGCAGTAATGTGTGATGTTTGCTTGTTTCCTTGTGATTGTAGGGAGTTTCTACCTCTCTGTTCGGTTTTTGTTTTAGTTTTTTACCATGTGGGGTTTGTGTTGTTATACCTACGTTTCTGGGTGCCTAACCCCAGTCGATGTTATTTAAGGAAAACCCCAACCACAAGGGGGTTTTCCAGGGCCATTGCTACCTGAAACCTCTCTGAAGGGGCCAGGTTCTTGTGACGGTCCCTGGTAGGTCTGAACTTCTTAGCTAATGTCACGGTCTAATATAACATACATTAGCCCGATAAGCTCCAGGGGGCCTCCGGGGTTCACCCAGAAAATGGAGTTTCATTACATTCAACGCTTGTTTTTTCACCTCCAGCCTGCTCTTGCGCCGCCTGAGCCATCCTGGTCATTGGACCGGGTGCTTTCTTTTCTCTCTCCTTTGTTTGTGGTGGCCCCTTTGGTTCAGGATTGTTTTTCTAAGGCTCTTTTCTTGTTGGCTTTGGCCTCTAGGGGTGGGGTTGGTGATGCTTGGTTGGTTCAGCCGGGGATGCATCATGTTTTGTCAGGTTGCGCCTCTTTGCCGTTATCTGTGCACCACGGCCTCCATAGCAGGGGACGCACTTTGGGCTGACTCGGTTTCCCTTCTTCCCTGTTCCAGGGTGCGGGTCTACCAGGTTGTCCGCAGGATTATTCGGTCCAGCCAGCCTGCAGTCTATCCCCGTGTCCATGACGTTCGTAAGTTCACCGCTTTGGCTTCTGTTTTTGGGAACATGTCTTGGGCTGACATTCGGGCACGGGACTTTTGGAGGTCGAACAGGGTCCTGGTCGCACGGTATCTTATTAATGTTCCTGGCCCTTCTTGGGCGTGTGTAGCCTTGGGTTGCAGATTGCAGCCATTTGTCTCGACTTCGAGTTGAGGAGCGGGTGACGACCGTAAGGGTAAGTCCCTTTTTTCTTTTTCTTTGGTTAGGTAGCTCCGGAGAGCCGAAGGGGCTCTACAGAGAAAACCAGCGTTGAATGTAATGGAATGCCACTTTCTGGGTGAGACCCGGAGGCTTCCCGGCATCCCTCCCTCCCTCCAGTCGGCTTTTTTTTTTCGCATTTTTGATACTCGGCCTCTGAACTGGGGAAAGTTGCCGGCGCAGAGGTTTCGGACCCCTCCGTCCCCCTCCCCGGGAGGGGGTGGTTGTGCAGACGGATGCGCGGTGTTTGTGGTGACGTCATACTGGTTTCCTTGGTTTTGATTAGAGAGTTCTGTTGCTAGTTCAGCTTTCGGTTTGCAATTATTTAATCAGCAGTAGTTTGTTTTGGAATTCCTACCTTTCTGGGTGCCTGACCTGGTAGATGGCAGACAAAGACTGCTTCCAATTACACGGGGGTGTCTTTAAGCCATTGCTCCTTGTGCCTCTCTTGAGGGGGCCAGGTTCTGGCTCTGGTCCCCGGTAGACCTAGAACTCCTTTGATTGACTGTTGCCACGGTCTATTATATACACACATATACACAGGTGGAAACTGAGTGCCCAAATGAGCTACAGAGATATTAGAAAGAACTTTTTTAGTGTCAGAGTGGTTGACAAATGGAATGCATTAGGAAGTGATGTGGTGAAGGCTGACTCCATACACAGTCATATCTACACTCCATACAAGTGTAGATATGATAGAGCCTAATAGGCTCAGGAACCTGTACACCTGTTGATTGACGGTTGAAAGGCGGGACCAAAGAGCCAGAGCTCAACCCCTGCAAGCACAATTAGGTGAGTACACATCAGAGCCTTCTACACCCACACAAGTCTGTGGGTGTAGAAGGCCGAAAGGCTCTTAGTGGCCTAAGGGTTAAATATTATCAAGAAATATTGGCTTAGTTATTCTTATGGAGTTGGTGGTATACCAACTTGCTATATCAGGTATCAGTATGTAAAATAAGTCAGGTAAAAATTGCTTTGACATAATACACATTGAATCTCTGACTAATACTGAATTAAGATTAAAAAATCTGATGTGGCAAACTAAATTCTTCGTAGATGAAGCTGTATGATCATTGCCTTTAATTTTAGAAATAATATTTGAGCCTCACTTAACGTTAATGTTTACTGGCTTGAACTGTAAAGCATTTTTGTTTTAATTTCAGGTGTTAGAGGTAGAAGAAGAAGGCAATGCACCAATGTACTATGTACATTATCTTGGCTGGAATACGAGATATGATGAATGGATTAGAAGACCTCGTATTGCAGAAAACATCACTTGGTCACAGAATAGAGCAAGGAAAGGCAGGGCTGCTGCTACTAAAGAACTGAAAGAAAAGAAGGAGAAAGAGAAAGACTCCAAGAAGGAAGATAAAGAACAAGTAACCATATTCCTGATTATTTTGTACCTTGTTTTAAATGTGGTAAATAAGTATTCCTATCAAGAGAAATACCTATGATTTTGCTGTGTTTATTTTAGTATACAGTAATATATTGCCACATTAATTTATAAACAATACTTTGAGAATACCACTTTATATTAAAGTTAGAAACAGCAATGTTCAGTAAAAATTTGGAACTTCCTGTAGAAATTTGACTGTAGCCTCTTGATGTTTTTCTGATAACTAAGTATTCTCTTGTTGGGGTCTTTGATATGATATAAAAAAAATTGGGTTTTGTTCTTCTAAACAAAATTTTTGTTTATATAGATGTCAGTTTTTATTAACTTTTAATATCATGTGAATGGCTAAACATGGTCTCTGATATATCATAAGTATAGTACATTTGGTATATCGTGGTATATAACTTTAGTATATCATAATTCAATTTCTTTCTTTATTATGCACCTCATACCCATCCCGTGGGCAGTGGTGGAAAAGGTTACAGAGGCACATAATGAGTTGAGGAACTGAACCTCATAGTTCGTTTAGCTAAGCAAGTGACAATCTTTTGAAGCTAGTTACATAATTGTTAATGTCGCCTACGCATGTATATGTACAGTATATACATCCCTGTACACAAATACATATACTGTACATATCAATAATCTTTTTATATCACAAGTGATTCAACAATAGGCTCACAACAGACACTATACAAGGCACTTTTCATCTATGGTGAGTCACACAGTCACTTGTCTTGCTCCACACCTGTAAAGTGGGGGTCTGTGGCTGAGTGGACAGCACTTGGTACTCGAAAACCTAGGGTCCGGGTTCGGTCTCCTGGGATGGTGGAAAACAAATGGGCAGAGTTTCTTTCACCCTGATGCCCCTGTTACCTAGCAGTAAATAGGTACCTGGGAGTTAGGCAGCTGTTATGGGCTGTTTCCTGGGGGGGGGGGTTTGCAATATATATTGGAGAACATTTTAAATGTAGTGTCAAAAAGGTAATGAAACTGATCCCCACACTGTTGAGATTGATTTAAATGAGAATAAATATGAGAATTAAATGTACCTAATATATAATAGAAGTAATATATAATATGAGTGCCTTGAGCTTTCTCTAAGAACTCGGTTCCAGGCTCGTTAACATCAGAGATCTAAGGGCTGCCAATTTCCGGTTTCAGTGCTTCAGTATGGCAATCCAAAGGGGAAACGCCTGCTGCATCCTCAGTTACTGTCCAGTAGTACAGGACCTCCAAGAGATCCAAAACTTTTAAGCACTCATTGTATTCACCGATGTACAACTTGCAACATTTAAATATCTAACAGAAGTTACATAAAAAAATGCTAAATCTTGACACAATAGGAAGGAAGGCTTATATGGGCAAAGGAATCAAAGGCATCTAGGTCTTAAAATGTTTGAATAGTAGGTGACAATAATTTTAGTAAAATGGACTGGATCAATAAAACAAAATACAGAAGCAGAACAATTTTAATAAATGGTAAATGACTGCCGTCTTAAACAATAAATTCAGAAACTAAGTTGGGAAAACAATGTTCTGTATTACACTTGGTTCTTGCCAACAAGGAGACACCAGTAAATGACAGAGAGATAGGGAGCATGTTAGGGAATAGTGATCATAAGGAAATTAAATTCTTAGAACAATTTATTCGACGGATCTCTTCTTGTTGGCATTGGCCTCTGGGAGTCGGTTCTGGGAGCTTCATGCTCTCCTTCGGCGCAGCTGTTTCTGCTCTTTTTGGTCATGGTGGTAGGTTTGTTAGATTGCAGCCATCTCCTCCTTTTCTGGCGAAGGATGACACTGCTGCCTTCCGGAGGGGTCCTTGGGTTGTTAATGCGTGGTTGGTTCGGCCGTGGTGCATCATCTGTTGTGTCCGGTTGCGGATTTTTGCCATTACTTGCATACCACAGCCTCTGTAACTGTGGATGCACTTTGGGGCGACCTGGTTTCCCTTCTTCCCTGTTCCAGGGCACGGGTCTTCCTGGTCGCCTGGTCGTCTACAGAGTTATTCGGTCCACCCAGCCTGCAGTCTATCCCCAATGCCCACGGCGTTCTCAAGTTTGCGGCTTTGACTGCTGTTTTTGGTAACATGTCCTGGGCTGACATTCAGGTGCGGGGTTTTTGGGTGGTCGACCAGGATTCTGGCCACAGGTACCTTGTTAATATTCCTGACCCTACTCGGGCATGTGTAACTTCGGGTCGCAGATTGCAGCCAGTTGTCTCAACTTTGAGGAGAGGAGCAAGTGGCAGCCACCTCCCGGGTAAGTCCCTCTTTGACTATATCTTTGGTTAGGTAGCTCTGGGGAACCGACGGGTGGCTCTACAGAAAACCAGCGTTGACTGTAATGAAATTCTATTTTCTGGGCGAGACCCTGAAGCTACCCAGTGAGGGAAGTCCTCCCAGATATCTATTGTTGAGGGGTCTTAAGGGTCACTTTCTGGTGGCACATTTCTGATTGGGTAACCCACAGGGTGCCCGAGTTTCTGGGGCTGCCATCTAGTCGTGGGCAAGTGGAACTATCCATCAATTGGGTCTTGACAATGAGTGTTTTTATAGTTTGTCTCTGGGTTATGTTTTCTTTGCAGTTGGTTCTTTCTGGTTGTTTTTCCTTATAGCCTGGGTTGATCTAGTATTCCCAGACTACTCCTAGACTACATTGCCTCTGTTAAGATGGCCAGATTATTGTCCTGGATCCTTAAACGTACATGTAACTCAAAGGGCCTGGTGAGTGAGACTTGGGGGTAGCCAGGCGGGTAGCTCAGGGAGCCACCAAAAGGTCCCACTAGAAAGATGCATTCATGACATTGGTGCTTTTTTTTATTCTTATAGTTAATAAAATCTTTGTTTTACTAGGTTCAGTCTACGGCTTCTCCAAAAGCAAGTATTGTTAAAAGAGGACGACCACCTGGCAGTATGCGTGAAAGACGTGAAAGTGAACGCAGTGAAAAAAGTGACACTAGCTGTACAAGCAGTGTCTCAGGCCCTAGTACAAGGGCTACACGAGATAGGGGACTTTCACAGCCAGATAGTCCTTCTTCTTTAGATCAGAGACGTACTAGACAACCTATTACCGGTAAGAAGTTAAATTGATCATAGAAAATAGATTAATGAAATGTTAATATCTTTATCCATTTAGAAATAGCGTTTGGATTACATGAAATAATATAATTTATAATAATGATAATTAAGAATACATTTATATACCTTTTAACAAAATATGTAATATTGTAAATTGAGGTTTAATATCATTTGATTCTTCCTCTATTTTTAAATCTAAATATTTTTTGCTCCATTTCTTAGCTAATAATGCTTGCGTTTATTTTTCTCAGGTGCAACAGAAAGTGACAGTGAAGATTATGAATCGGATGCAGATACTGGTTCAGAAAAATCTCGCACCCGTACTAGTTCGGAGCGACGTAGTACTGCTGTGTCAACATCATCATCGGCGTCTTCCACTCCTACCTCAGAACCCGCCACAACAAATAATTCTAGCATGGAAAAACATTCTACGGAACCTCAGATTAAAACACAAGTAGTTGAAATAAAGGAAGAGGAGGAAGAGCAGGAGCCCTGTGGAAAGGATATTGATTTGAATGCCATTATGTCAGAAATGAAGGGACTTGATAAACCCATTAAGAAAGAGGAAGACCGTATTTTAAGAGAAGCAACCCCAAGATTAATATCACCAGTGATGCCTTCCACATACTCTGTTCCTGAAAAGAAAACTTCAGAATCTCCTATAAAGCAGTCCATAGAAAATCTTCCTAAGAAGATTACAGAGTCTCCAATAAAGCCAGTTGTACAAGATCCATCAAAGCTTTTATCTCCAAAGTTAGAATCTCTAGAAGATGATATTTATGAATTTAAAGAGCCAGAACCATTTGATTTTGGAGAGATGCGTGCAAGAAAAGATGTTAGAATAAAAGTGAGTGTTGGTGTTGTGGGTGCTGAAGAAACTGAAGCTGATGGTAAGCTTAAGAAAAAGGGTAGACCTAGAAAAGATATGAAAGAAGGAGAGGGTGATAAGACAGAGTCTGATAGTGATACTTCACCGAGTCCTCAAAAGAGAGTGATTATACCAAGGGAAACCAGGGAATCACCAGTTAAGCGTTCTATTCCAGATTGTAGGGAGAGTCTGCCTATACAGTCAGATGGAAATCTAACTCCTGAAAAAAAAGATTCCACAGATGTAGCCAGAATTATATCACCACCTCGAAAAGTTGCTTTGAAAAGGGATACGCCAGTGAAGACTGAACAGACAGTTGCACAAGTAACAGAAGCAAAAGTTACTAAGCCAGAATTTCCAAAGTGTCCCTCACCAAAATCATCACAGCCAGATACTTGTAAGTCACCATCTCCTTTAAAGGAGCCTGTTAAATTACATATGATTCCCTTGAAAACCAAACCATTGACTAATATTGAACGACCAGTCACATCACTTTCAAAGTGTGTTGGTCCTTCTTCACATGTTCTTGCTCAGACCGTCATACCTGTTATCGAATCTAAAGCCTTGGCTAAGCCTATTTTTAAGCAAGCATTTGATATTAAAATTGAGAAGTCAGTTATGTCCACCAAGATAGATGAAAAATTAGAAGCTAAAGTTATTCCCTTCTCACAGAGACAACAGCATATATTTCCTCACCTTTTGAATCGTTCAGAAACTAATGAAAAAGTAAAGGACCTACAGCCAAAAGTTTCTCCATCATGCATGCAGTCTCCATCCAGAGAAACAACACCAAATTGTGAGTCAGGGTCTGTAAGTCAAAGTGAATCTGATGTTGATAGAATAAAGAGAGAGAGTTCAGTAGAAGAGAGCATAGAAGCTGTTGTAAAAAGAGCACGGAAAGATCAGGAGGATCAAGAGGATTGTAACGCTGGCATCGGTAATAAACTCAGTCCAGACAAGAGGAGAAGGACATCAGGCAGAGTGAAGAAAGTCTTGAGTCGTGAATTTGTCCCAGATACTTCTGAGGAATCTGACTCTGATAGTAGACAGTCAAGACCTGATATGGAAAAGATTAGGCAAGGAAGATTATGTGGTGAAGGAGAAAAAGTTGTGCATATCAGTAGAGGGCAGAAACTGGTATCAGATGTGGAGAGGAAAAATGGAAGTAAAAAAGATGAAGATTTAGATGATGATAATGGTAACAATGAGGTAATAGATGAAGAGGAGGAGGAGGGGGCGGAGGATGAGGATGGAGAGGAGGAAGATGAAGGAGAGGAGGAGGAGGAGGAGGAAGGAGAAGAGGAAGAAGAGGAGGAAGAGGAAGAGGAGGAGGATGAAGATGAGGAAGAGGAAGAGCCAGAGCCAGTTATTGAAGTTATAAAAGGTAAATTAAACAGAGAAGAATTAAGCAATATAAAAGAGGAAGAAGAGCAGGAGGAGGAGGAGGATGATGATGCAAGACAACTTAGAAAAAAGGTTAGGGCTTCTGCTGCACCAAAACAAGTAGAAGAAGAAGTAGAAACGGGTTTAGGTGATTTACTATGCAAAGAAACTATTCCACCAGGTAGCCCTATGACGCACGATGCTGCTGTTACTGATTCAGAGCCTCAGCAACCTCCAGATTTAAAGAATGAAATGCCTTTTGCCAGTGTTCCTACAGGCAGTAGTTTTGGAAAAAGAGGGCCAGTTCCTGTTGGTCAAACAGTAACATCTGCTTCTCATCAAACTCCAGCAATGCAATCTCCACAGCTTCTTTCACAACAGCAATTACCTCCCCAACAACAGCAGCTACAGCAGACTTTAAAACAGTCACAACAAATGCCTATACAACAAAAACATCAACTGTTGATACCTCAGGTACACCAGCCCTGTCATCAAAAGCTCCAACAAACACAGCAGCATGTTCAACTTCAACAAAAAACTCAGCAGTCACAAGTACAACACACCCAATTACAAAAACAGCAGCATGTTCAGCAACAGACCACACAACAGCATACTCAACAGGTACAGCACCACCCACAGATACAGCAGCACTCTCAAACACAAAATCCAGGACAAAAGCAGCATATGCCAGGACAACTGCAGCAACATTTGCAAGGGCATCAACAGCAACACACTCAAGTTCAACCGCAGCAAAATCTTCTGGGGCAACAACAAAAACATGGACAGGTGCAACAGCAGCAGAATTCACAGATATTGCAGCAGCAGCCACAGCAAGGTCCTCAACTGCAGCAACAACATAATCCTCAAGTTCATCCACAAGTTTCACAGGTGCAGCAGCAGATTAAGGTTCAACACCAGGTTCAACAGCAGCAACAAACACCTTTGAAAGTTCATCAGCATCACCACCATGTTCAACAACACCACCACCCGCACCCAGCTCAACAAAGTCACCAAGTTCAGCAACCACAAATCCAGCAGCAACCACCTCAACATCCTCCACAATATTCATATTCACAGCATAGCCAACAACCAGTGCAGCGTCAACATCAGGAACAGGTGCAGCAGCAGTACCAGCACCACCAAGAGCAAATTCAGCATCAAGACCAGCAATACCAACAGATATCAAGGCCTGTGCCAAGTGTTAGTAATACAATACATAACCCAGGCTTAGCTGTAGTAGCTGCAGCAGCTGCATCAGGAAATACTAGAAATTGCAGCGGCATTAATGGGTCAGTTGGTGCTTCAGCTGGACCTTCTACATCTGGTAATGGTCCTCCTCTAGCAGGAAGTGGGAGTGGTCAATCATCAGCTCAAACAACTGTCATGGACAATACTCCTCCAACTACACCAGAGAGCATTATCTCAAATATATCAGATTCACCGAGAGGGTAAGGATTAATAGTTTAAAATGTGAAGCAATCTTATGCTTAGAACTGTAAATTGTGTTCATTGTGAAACAAATTTAGTTTTTCCATATCCAAACATATTTTGTTGGTATTAAATACATAACATATATTAACAGGGATAATGAGACGGCAAAGTTGGACGAATCCAGCAAATCTGGCCGAGATTCTTCTGAAGTGGAATTGGAAAGTTTAGGGGAGACAATCAAGATTGATCAGTTTTCTGAAGGTAAATAATTAAGTTTTAATAATTCATAGTTGATGAAACTCGCTATTTTTTATGTTATTTAAAAGTTTGTATTCTTGTGAATTTGTGAACCTGTATTCAAAAGCCAGCTTGAAGTTCCTCATTAATGTTAATGAATGTTTATGTCCAGAGGAGTGTTACTATCAGACTTTAGGGTAAGTTAAAAACTAATATTCATATGTTTATTTATCTGTTTATATGCGTTACACAAGGCTCTCGCACGTCAAGCCTGGCCTCGGGCTGGGTTGGCTTGGGAAGTAGAACAACTCCCAGAACCCAATCCAGGTAATGTTTTCCCCTGGCATTCTGAACTCTCGCATATGAATAGAAAGGAAAATGACAGTATTTTGGTCCATCTATTTGAAGGATGAAAGGGAGTGTGTATCAATAGAAGGCAAGGGGGAAGGTGAGGTAAAGGAGAGAAGGTAAGAAGTAATGCATGAAAACCAACCTATCATAAAAATACTACAAATATAGAAGGCCTCTTGGCAGTCTAAGTATAGTAAGGAAAAAAGAAAAATACCAAGGTGAAATGGATACACATAGAAATAGCAAGGATTCAAGGAGAGCATACAGGGAAGTAAAAAACTAAGCAAAATCTTGCTCTTTAAGAAGATTAGACCATTTAAGGGACACCAATCATCCCTTAAGATTGGTATATATCCAAAATAATCTCTCCTGCCTCTACTCTGTATTGATGAGTCTCCCTGAATTTGCTCTCATACACAACATGATCCCAAGTCCTGGCTTTGTTGTTTTTCACTCCTGCCTTTTTCAGTATATAATTAAATGTTTTAATGATCTTTACAAGTGTGATCTGGCTTAAGTTTTTGTTGACGAGAAATATGAAGGTGCCCCACCATGAAAGGGAGGAGAAAATCCAACCCCAGCAGAAGCTGGCAGAGGCAGCTCAAGGGATGCCTACTGGAAATCCCATACCAAGCCAAGCCACATCTGAATCTGTGATGGCATCAACTGGGACTTCCAGTCAAGTTGATGAGGAACCCTTACTTTGCAAACTGTGAAAGAACCAGATCCTTTGCTTGCAAACCAGTTGTAAGCCCAAATCAGCCAGTCGTCGAGGTAGGCCAAGACACAAATTCCTAGAAGATTAATACGAGATGTCATGACTTGCGCAAGCCTAGTAAACATTCTGGGTGCCAGGCTTTGATCTGTGGGAAGAATCCAAAAGTACTAACCAAGGGGCCATACCAGAAACCCTAGCCTGTTCCTTAACCACGAACGAATCAGGACATGCCAGTTTGTATCTTTGACGTCCATGGATACCAAGCAGAGGTCCTTATCCAATATTAGACGAACCTGACAGTTATCATGTGGAATGTCAGCAAACAATAAACTTGTTCTGCCCTGAAAAGTTGATGATGGGCCGAGACTTTGATGTGTCCGATGTGGGGACTTGAATTCCTGAGGCACCAACTTCAGGGAGGACACTACCTTAACCACCCTTTGTTACCAACTGTACCACAATGACCATGTGAAGCAGCAGAGTAGATGGCCGAGCCTAGACCTACAACACCAGAAGGGGGAGGGGGGGTTGAGAACCACACCCACCGAGGTAATGGGAACCATCCGATATGGCCAAGCATGGCTAGTCCAGGCCTCAGAAGACACTCTGCCATCTCACCACAACTTCAAAGGGGCGAACTGCAAAATGGATGGTTCATATATTCCCAATGAATGGCAACCCTCTGAGAAGACTGAAAATTTCTGCCAAGGAGTAGAATCTGAAGTGAAAGGCAGTAGCAGAGCCCCAGACATTGGTGCCACAAAACATCTTTCTTGATCAGAAGGAACAGAAACCTGAACTGCCAATCTGCAAGCCCATAGAAGGAGCAGAATCCTGCCTCAAAAGCACTTGACTGAAAGGCCATAGGCCATAGCAATCATGAGAATGTGAGCAACCACCACCATGGATGTTACACGTAACACTACTAGATCCATCATGGACTGTACAGTGTCTATTTGTCTCAGACAAGTCAAGGCAGATAAAAACTGTAAATGATACAGAACAAACCTGTAAGGATTATTCTCGGGTGTCAGAAGAAATACAATGATTGAGGTAATGAAAATGGATTTAAATTTACAGTATGTATGATGCTTGACATTAATACTATGGTATCTATTCATTTTGTGAGGAAGAGAGGCGACGATAAGCTCTTCCAAAACATTCAGGCTTGCTCAAGTGATGTGCAAACTTCTAGGAAAGTCAGTCAGTCAGTCAGTCATGTTACTTAAGTGGATTGGCTAATAACCTCAGGGAATATGATTTATAGTACGGTAGTTGAGTGCTGCAAACCTTCTGGGCAGTTTAGTAGAACTTCCTATAACTACAGAAATAGAAGTAGTAATTGTCCAAGATGATAAAGCCTCAGCATGATATGTTGTTTGTATGGGAACATGGTATCTCAGTTACCAAGAGACAATAATTTGGTTGTATCACATAACAGATTCATGGTAGAAGATGGCAGGACACTGCCTTAATCGACTGAGCTACGACATGATCGTAGTAAGTTCAACAGTAAATTCAGTAGAACTTCGGTTTCAACTCCTTTTGACCATGTCGTAGCTCAGTCGATTAAGGCAGCGTCTGGGATGCTCTCAGACGCAGGTTCGAATCCTCGTCACCCCCCTTGTGGATTTGTTCAATATAAAATAAATCTGGATTCCATCTCATGTTGGAATAGTGCTCAACAAGGTGGCTGATATGCTGACCAAAAGATGCTCAACATGACCATGAGTTGATATTGAATGTGTTTAAACTCTGAAACAAATTAAAATCAAAGTGAGAAATATGCAGGCACAGGCAAAAGTGGCAAGAAAAGGTATAATATATGAGAGAAGTCAACCATGAAACAATACATGTACGCGAGTCAAAACACACATTTCACTGAGGAAAAAAAAGAAAAGAAAAAATACTCGGGCGTTGATACAAATATTATTGGGAATATGGAACAGGTCCTAATGAAAATGAAAGTAAGTTCTATTTATGTGGTATGTTAAGATTTTACCCTTACTCATTACAGTGTGTTCTTGATTTCCTGTTGATTATTGTATAGAAATAGTAAGAAAAGGACTGTTCCTGAACATATAGTCTGAATGTGTCACAAAGGACAAATTTATATTTTGGAAATGTGTAAGAATTTTGGACCATGAAAGTAAACTTTTCCTTATGTCTGAATGTTGAATAGTAACCCATTATTATCATTATTATTACTTATGCCTACCATGTGTATTGGTACTTAGTTATAAAAGCATTTATTTGTATCGATGTGTATATTTAGTTTAATATTACCTGTGTACAGGAAGAAATGTATGTTTATAAGGCAGGATTTTCAGTATGTTGATTTTCTGGGGGGAGCCCCTACAGCTCCCGGGAGCTATCCAAGCTGATATGGATATCCCTGACTTTGGCATCAGTTGATGTGGGTGGAGTTCTAGGACTACCAGGGACCACGAGCCAGAACCTGGCCCCTGAGAGAGGCACGGGGAGCATTGGCCTATAGAATGCACATGTGATTTTGGAGCATTCTATATCTGCCATTGACCGGGACAGGCACCCAGAAAGGCAAGCACCACAAAACTAACCTCTATTCTGGTTAAGAACAACTGAAATAGACAAACGAGTGGACAGAACTCCCCAATTGAAAATGAGCAAACAAGCATGACGTCACATGAGCTGTGCCGCATGTCTGCGCAGCTCCCATGCACCGGCAACCCCACCATCAGTTCCTTGGCAGCTGTCGTCGTGGCTCCAGCTCCAGATTCTTATTGTGCTGTGCCTGGGTTCAGTACTTCTCTCAGGTGGTGTGCGAGCTGGGAGTAATATTCACAGGTACTCGGGCTGCATGTGCTTAGGGTCACCTTCCTTGAGTGCCTTGTAAGTACTGCCCTAGGGGTTTGGGGTTACCTTCCATAAGTGACCTTGAGTCTACCTCTGTTGGTCTTTTGCTGCTTGGCGATTGACCTCCCCGAGTGTTTTGGGGGGGTTTCCTTCCTGGTTTGCCTTGGGTTAAGTAGTAGTTCTTGCACTGGTATAACTCTAGCTACAGTACTGTGTAGCTAGTTTTCACCTATAACAACAGCTGGCTCTGTTCCCTCTGGGTACGCTGTCCTCTTGCGAGGTTTTTCTTTTATTTTTATTTCTGCCTTGGTGTTCCTTTTTATCTTGGTTGTCTTTAGACGATTTCAGGGCTTTGCATCCCCGTGGCCCGGTCCTAGACCAGGCCTCCTTGTTACACACCCCCAGGAAGCAGCCCGTAGTAGCTGTCTAACTACCAGGTTCCTATTTACTGCTAGGTAACAGAGGCATCAGGGTGAAAGAAACTGCCTTTTGTTTCCGCCTCCAGTGGCGATCGACCCCGGAACCCCAGGACTACGAATCCGAAGCGCTGTCCACTCAGCTGTCAGGGCCCCAGCTGTTCCTTTCCCTTATACTAGGGTTGTTTGTGTTTGGTGGTACCCTTCCCCCCCTGCTTCACCCTTGTGAGTGGATACGTCCCGGGGTTCAGCATTAACAGTGTTGATTGGTAGCTTGGGCGCCAGTTAACAGTACCCCTGCCTGAGCAAACCCTTAGCAGACCCAGTCTAGGGGCCCCTGGGAAACCCCACAGGTTGCTCGAGTCCAATGGATGTGACCCCCACGTCCCCTCTCGCCTTTTTGCAAGTTTGAGGGTTGTTCTGTCCCCTTGTCTCAGGGTGACTCTCATTGTTTTTGCCTCAGTCATGCAGCCTGTTGGGTTGGTGACACATTCGACCCGGAGTCCTGCGAGCTTTGTTGCTTGTTTGTGACTCAGAATCCAATTTGATGATGATATTCGGGTGTAGGCGGCTCACGCGTTGCAAGATAGGCTTGGGTTGTTGCAGCACGCTCGTTTGGGTGCTTACCCGGATGCCCCCAAGGCTGCCCCGTTTTGTTTATAGGGACCTGGACTTGGGGGTGTTGGTTGCTTTGGCCTTGGTTCTATCCGCACCCCCTTGTTCTTCCCCTGCTTCCGGCTCCTAAGCATCTGAGCGCTTCGGGGTCGGGGCAGGGTTTAAAGGTTTGAGACTCGGGCAGTTTCGAGGGTTGCCCCTTCCGGGGTGGCTATGGAGGCATTCGAGTCCATTCCTTATGCCGAAGCTCCGGGGTCGGACCAGTGGGCTCGTTCTCTTCTTGCTATTTCGGGTCCCCCCCTCCCCCCCGGCATTTTCTTGTGTGGCCATTGCTTGAGAGGACGACTTGCTCCTGGGCCTGATGTGGAGGTTCCCGGGGTTGGGGAGGGACTGGTTTGGGGACCTTGAGCCCTGTTGGACCCTGCCTGAGTTTTCCAACCCTCTGGGCTGGACTTTGTGTTACAAGCAGTGGGGTTTTCCTTATCCCCACCACTCTGAGTACGAGCGAGTTTGGGCGTCAGCCCCTCCCTGGGTTCGGTTCTATGTCCCTTAAGTCTGTCTGTTCCACTCTTCCTGTGGGGTGATTTTACCACTTTTTCACCCTTCTTTTCTAAGACATACATTCTTCTATGTCATGTCATCATGTCCTCATCGTCTCGGGATCCTGCATGATCATTAGTCGCGGATGCCACTGGGCGCATGTGAGCCTCCGTGCTTTTGTGCTTGCTTCTCAAGGGTCTCGAATGTTTGGGAAGATCTTCCTTTCTTCCAATATTGTTGGAACGTCTGTCATCTGCTGGTGAGGCTTACCTCCAGTCCTTTATCAGACTCGTTGGTCCTCTTCCGTCGTACTTATCGTTTTTTATTTTACAGTGGCACCGCAACTTACGATTGCCCCGACTTATGTTAATTTCAAGTTTCGATATAAATTTGATCAGAAAATCCAACTCGACTTACGATATTCATTGATTCAGGTTCCGGTCGATGGAGCACGTCGCGAGGGCCGACCTGCCTCAGTTTACTAGTGCCGCCCGCTTAGTGACGATCATGCTTATAAGAAATTCCATTTTTTTGGTGATATTTTGCTGTGCAGACATGCGGCGAGGCTCGTGTGACATCATGCTTGTTTGCTCTCTTTTTAATTGGGAATTCTGTCCACTCATTTGTCTATTTTTGTTGTTCTTAACCAGAATAGGGGTTTGTTTTGTGGCACTTAACTTCTGGGTGCCTGTCCCGGTTGATGGCAGATATTGAATGCTCCAAAATCACATGTGCCATTGCTCCCAGTGTCTCTCTGAGGGGGGGCCAGGTTCTGGCTCATGGTCCTCGGTAGGCCTAGAACTCCACCCACATCGACTGATGCCTAAGTTTGGAATATCGATATCAGCCTGGATAGCTCCAGGGAGCCTCTGGGACTCCCCCAAAAAATAGCATTTCATTACATTCAACACTGGTTTTTTGTTGGGTGTAAAGATACATGAACACGTTGTATTGAACTGGGTGAGAATAGCTGGAGCTACCTTATCCCATTTCACATATTTATATCTCGGTAAACTTGTTTAAATTTCAACCCATAGATCACTCCCTTGTATCAGTTCTTTATTACCACTTTACATAAGTGTTTAGGTTGCATGTTGCCTGTTTACCATATTCCTCATCTCATAACATAGCTTTTGTCCACATTGTATTTTATGACATGTGTTGCACCATTTGCTTACATTGTCAAGGTGATTTTGAAAGGTATGACTGTCATCTGGATTCATTATTCTCCTCATTAGTTTAGAAGCATCTGCAAACATGTTCACGCAACTCTGGATTCCAGTCTGGTAGATTGTTAATAGAGACAGCGAACACAACTATGGCTAGTACTCAACCTTGTAGTTGCTAGTAACAATTCTTCATTCAGATAAATTTCCTGTAAGCACTGCTCTCATTTTTCTTTTAAAAATTTTGCTTGTCACTTGTCTACTTCTCACCCCTCCTCCTCCTTGTCTTACATTCCAGAACAGTCTTATGTTTAGGACTTTATCAAAAGTTATTTTGCTGCTGGAGTGTGGTGGTGGATTCTCTGTTGTGATATTACTCTCTGCACTGATGTCTATTCTTCTCATGAAAGTGGTATAAAGTATAATGATAATATGCTTGTACATATGGATGTTATCCTAATACTCTTCCTATCATTCATAAATTTCATATTTTAGATTCCAATACTATGGATAGTACCCTGGGCAGTGAACCACGACGCCGTGGTAGATTAAATCCACCTGTTAAACGCCAGCATGAAGGACATCTTGTTCAGATTAATATACCTGATGTGGAAGGTTCTGAGACTGAAGAGGGCAGTTCCACTCCAGCTGCCCCAAAAAGGCGACGGCGAGGACCAAGAGCTCGAGCGTGTAATGATCCTGAGGATGAAGAAGGTACTAGAAAAGGAAATAGCCAGGGAACGTATATTGGACGCAGAAGGCGACGACACTCGTCATCTCGTGGAGGTACAAGTGTGTAGTGTAGCAAAAGATTGAAAATAAAGTCAATAAGATGTATGCTAATTTGATGGTAAAACTGTTGATGGATAAAATTTGATTTTCTCCTTGATTCTTATGAGGTCCCTCTGATCTGGGTGTTTTCCTGCTCATCTTACAAGTACAGTATCTCTCTCTCTGTGGGAAGCCCCTATGGCTCCCTGGAGCTTATCGGGCTAATGTATGTTATATTAGACCTGGACATCAGCTAAGGAGTTCAGACCTACCAGGGACCAGCGCCAGAACCTGGCCCCTTCAGAGAGGTTTCAGGGAGCAATGGCTCTGGAAAACTGCATTGTGGTTGGGGGTTTTCCTTTTCTTCCATCGACCGGGGTTAGGCACCAAGAAAGGTAGGCATAACAAAACAAACCCCACATGGTAAGAAACTAAAACAAAAAAAACGAAGAGAGAGGAAGAAACTCCCGTCAATTCCAAGGAAACAAGCAAACATCACATTTTACTGCTGCGCCGATCGTCCACGCAGCCCTCCTCCCCCTTGGAGGATAGGGGGGGGGACAGATCTCGCTGTGCTGGCTGCCTAGCATCAGTTCGTAAGCTAATGTCAACTGGGACAGACGCTTCTCTGGCCTCGGTTTGTTAAGCGGTGTTTGGCTTTCGTGGCGTTCCCCCCTCCCCGCTCAGCTCGTTGTCGCCGTCTGGGGGCTTAGTGGGCGGCTGCCGGAGTGTGATGCTCCTTGGGACAGTCCTCTGTCCTTTTCTAGCCTTGTGTTCCTGCTGCCGTCCTCTCCAATTCTGCTGGGCATCTTTTCCTTTTCCTTCTGTTTCGTTTTTCTCCCCCCTCTTCTCCTATCTGCTTGCCGTTTCCTGCCGACCTTTTGCTCGTTCTGGTTCTTCCCTTGGACTTCTTCTACTTTGACGCCCGGGTGCTTGAGGAGGCATACTCTTGCACCCGTAGAACTGCGGTACCCGACGTCGAGAGCGAGGGGAACCTTTTATTGTCAATCCCCACTTCGTCACTGAACCCGATCTCGACGGACTGTCGGTTTCTTAAGGTGGCGTTTGTGGGGCGTATACTCACGACGCACCCCTAGGAGGCCCCGACAAGATCGGCGATAGCTTCTTGTTGGGTGTCCTGCCTCTAATTGTGGCTCCATGGTGGGTGTGGGGGCACATTCGTGAGTGAATTCGTAATTTCGTCAAGATGATAACCCCTGTTTCGGCTGTTTCTGGCTTACCTTTTCAGGCTCGTGGGGTGGGCGACCAAGCCCCCGAGTCGGTCCGTATTGGAAGACCGGGCTCTGTAGCCTCCGCTGCATTGGGCCCCGACCTTGCTCCTCCTTTGGCCTCTCTGACTCCTTCCCCTGGCTCCCCTCCCTCCTCTGTGGTTGGGTCGAGCCCCAAGCCCCCAGTGGTGACTACCTCGTCCCCTGGCGCGGCTCCTTCTCTAGTTGTTACTACTGCGCCTTTTAACCCCTCTCTCTCTGGGGGTTCTCACCGCCGTTCTCGTCACGGCCGCCCTCGCTCGATTCCTTCCAGTTCTGCTACCTATCAAGCCTTGTTTGGTCCCGCTTCGTGGGCCAAATATTTTGATCTCCTCCCTCTTGATTCTGCGCCTCCTGACGATTTCTCCCTTCATCGACATCTCATTGATTCCGTGGATGCCTCCATTACTTTTAACCCCACTCGTCTCGGTACGCGTGTCGTTGCTGCTCCTTCTCAGGATGCTGCTTCCCGCTTGGCTGCCTTATCCTGCCTTGGCGAGACCCCCGTTCGGGTCTCGAAGAACGTCCAGTTGAATGCCAGTGTTGGCACTATTTTGCTCCCGCCCCATGTTGCAACCGGTGTTCGGGACCTGCGCGACTGCCACGACGATATTCGACATATCCTCGCTGCCCAGGGCCATTCTATTCTCCAGGTGGACACGTTTACTCGTCCCCCTCGTGGTAGTCGCCGTCAACCCCTCCGGGTTGTGAAGATTACCTTTGATGGTAGGACCCTTCCACCCTCTGTCATTCTTGCTGGTGCCAGGTGCTCTGTCCAGGAGTACATTCCTTCTCCTCGGCTCTGCAACAAGTGCTGGAGGTTTGGGCATGGTGCCCTCCGCTGCTCCGGGACTGTCTCTCTCTGTCCTTTGTGTGGTGGCGAAGGTCACTCTAAGTCGGAGTGCGCTTCTCCCCAGGCTCGTTGCCTCAACTGCGGTGAGGCCCATCCTACCTTCTCCCGTGCGTGTGTCCATTACAAGCTTGAGGCAGCCGTCCTCAACTTGAAGCACCGGGAGCGTTTATCTTTTCCTGAGGCGAGGCGCCAGGTTCGCCGGCTCCCGCCTTATGCTAATATCTCTTATGCTCGCGTGTTGCGCTCTTCCTCTCCTCGTCCTTCCCGCCTTCCTCAGACTCACAACCGTTTCCAGGCCTTGGACCCTGATGCGCCCACTGCCCCCTCCTCTGTCCCTTTGGGTTCTCTCCCGAAGGATCCTCCTCCTGGTCCTCTGTCTGGGGTTCCCCTTCCTTCTACCCGGTCTGTCGTGTCTTCTGTGTCTCCTTCCTCGTCCCCCTCCGATCCTCCTTCCCATCCTCTTCCTCCATCTATCGGCTCTCCCCGCCGCCTGTCGGTGCGGGCGGATGTCCATCGCTCTCCTAACGGCCGTCGTGTGTGCTCTCGTTCGGCTTCTCCTGTTGAGACACTGGAATCCGTTGCCCGGTACGTAGTTGCTGGGACACCGGTCTCTTTAAGTCAGAAGCGTAAGCCTGGCTCCTCTCCTTCCTCTTCCCCGGCGGGTAAGAAGGCTTCGCTTTCTTCCTCAGCTCCTCCTTCTGGCTCTGTTGCTCCTTCCACTCCCGTTTCAGTGCTTGCGCCCCCTGTTCCTGCTATGGAGGTTTCTTTGGCCCCTGCTTCCCTTTCGGTTGCTGCTCTTGCTGGGGTGCGCTCCTCTCTTTCTACTCCCCCTCTTCCTGCTGCTGTCCTTGCCTGCTCCTCTCCGTTGTCTCCTCCTCCTCCTCCTCCTCCTCCGGACCCTGCCCGCCCACCTCTGATCTGTTCTCCCGTTTCCTTCCCTCCGTCTTTGCTCAGTTTACCCATGCCCCCTAACCCTGACTTTGCTGACCCTGATCCCGACCCTGATATTCTTTAACGTGCTCTGTTGGTCTTTCGCCTTTGTTTCTTCCTTGTTCTCTGTTTTTGTCCTTTCTCTTCTCGTCGTTGTCCATTCTTCAATGGAACGTTCGAGGTTATTACGCCAATTTCCTCGAACTCCAACTTCTGGTTTCGCGGTTTTCGCCCCTTTGTGTCTGTCTCCAGGAGCCGATGCTTGGTGCTCGTCCTGGTCGTTTTCGTGGCTATTCCTTTCTCTCCCCCCCCCCAGCCATTGCTGGGGCTTCTAATTCTTCTGCTCTCTTGATTCGGGCTGATGTTCCCTTTGTTCCTTTACTTTTTCCTTCGCCTCTCCATTGTTCTGCTGCTCGTATCTTTGTGGGGAAATGGTACACAGTTTGTTCCATTTATCTCCCCCCGGGTGTCCCGCTCTCTCTTCCTGATTTGAAACACCACCTAGACTCCTTGCCGGAGCCTGTGCTCCTGCTGGGTGACTTCAATTGTCGTCATTCTCTTTGGGGTGACGTTCTGACGAATACCCGGGGTCGCCTCCTTGAGCCGTTTCTCCTCTCTTCTTCCCTGTCTCTTCTGAATTCTGGTGAGCCCACTCATTTGGACTCTCGAACTCGCACCCTTTCTTGTCTTGATCTTTCTCTCTGCTCTTCTTCTCTTTACTTAGATTTCACATGGCAGGTTCTTGATGACCTCCATGGAAGTGATCATTTCCCCATCCTTGTTTCCTTTTTCTCTTTTCGCCCTTCCCTCTCTTTCCCTAGGTGGCAGTTTGCTAAGGCGGACTGGACCCTGTTTTCCCTCAGTGCTACTCTCTCTGACCTCTCCCTTCTGCCCCTCTCTCGCGCTCTCCTCCTTTTTCATGACACTGTCTTCGACGCTGCCCTCCGCTCTATTCCTCGCTCTTCCTCTCGGGGTCCACGGAAGTGCGTTCCCTGGTGGAATGCGGACTGTGCTCGGGCTGTCCGCTGTAAGCGTGCAGCCTGGAAGAAGCACCGCCGTAGGCAGACGACCGATTCTTTTCTTTTCTTTCGGAAAGCGAGTGCGGTGGCCCGTAGGGCCATCCGTACGGCTAAACGTGAATGTTGGGCATCTTATGTCTCGACAATTACGTCCGAAACCCCTCTGGCCCAGATCTGGAAGCGTATCCGCAAGATAGCGGGTAAGTTCGTTCCCGATGTTTCACCGGTCCTTCACCTCCATGATACTCTTGTGGCGGACCCGTTGCAGGTCGCTTCCGAACTGGGTTCCCACTTTTCTTCTGTTAGCTCTGGTCTTCATCTTCCCCAATCTTTCCTTCTTCGTAAACCTGTCCTTGAGTCTCGTCCTTTAGATTTCTGCACTCATCTTCAGCTTCCCTATAATGACCCCTTCTCTCTCTCTGAACTTCGTTCTGCCCTGGCCCTCTGCGGTTCTACGGCGGCGGGCTCCGATGGTATTCATTATGAGATGCTTCGCCATCTCCCTCCGAGCACGTCTCAGTATTTACTGAGTCTGTATAATCGGATCTGGGAGTCGTCGTCAGTCCCTGAGGACTGGCTCGATGCCGTTGTCCTCCCTGTTCGCAAACCAGGGTCTCTGGGTACTTCCCCTAAGGACTTTCGCCCTATTGCTCTCACAAGTTGTGTCTGCAAACTCTTTGAACGTATGGTTAACGTTCGTCTGATGTGGTTCCTGGAACACCATCACCTCCTCTCCCCTTCTCAATTTGGTTTCCGCAAGTGCCGCAGCACGACAGATGTCCTGGTGAACTTGGAGGTCTATATACGTACTGCTTTTGCTGCGAAGACCTCCGTTGTTGCCGTCCTTTTTGACCTAGAAAAGGCTTACGACACCACTTGGCGTTATCATATCCTATCTCAACTTCATTCTTTTGGCCTTCGTGGTCATCTCCCTCTCTTTCTCCG